CAGAAAGATCTCGTGGAAAATTGATGATCCTGATTCTTGCTATTGAACTATTTTTTTCATTTTCATTTCAATTTACGACACATCGAAAATCGGGTTTCGAATTCCAATACTGTATTATTGGGTTCCATTACAACTCCATTGCAACAATTCGCTGTTAATCAAAATATTGCACAACATATAACGAGAGGGCAACCTTCATGATTCAGGTACTGATGAGCAAACACATGAGTAATGAAAATAATTAATTTATATTATTGACTTAATATAAAATCAGAAAGCACTTTATGTATTTTGGGGATTTTGAATTAACAACCATTACTTTGGTACCACAGCAAATATCAGTCTTCATTCGGTTTCCCAGCAAAGAAAAAGTTCACACATCACACCAGGTCTATTCGGTAATGGTTGGTACCCGACTGCTTCCACTCTCAAAATTTCAGGCCAATCGCAAACAAAAGAGCGTTCAGTCGTAGAGTCTACTTGTTGCCGTTCTCAGTAGAATGTCTCATCACTAGCTCGACACCATTTCAACTTTTTGGCTGTTATGAATAAAAGAATAATTTATTGATTAACGTGTCCGCGCACGTCCACTTCTATTATAATTGGTCCCATAAGAGAAGTGCTAGTTATATCCAGAGAGACGGTAATGTCGCTCCCCCGTTTGAAAAAGATCGATTGATTAGCGAGTCCAGGCCCGAAAACTACTAATGTGCTTATTCCCGAAAGTGTAGTGGATGTTGCCATGGCGGGGGAGGCAGCGACGTTCCCCCTCTGGCTGGCGAGATCCGGCGCCGACCTAGTCAGCTTACGGACGTTTTCCCCAACCAGGTATTTCCCTACCGGTGTGGCACTGCCTCAGCCAGGGCACGCTCTAAGCTGCCGACCGGTTTCCCGCTATGTGATAGTGTAGTGGTCCTAATGTCAGTTTGTGTAAATAAGGAGGAGGAAAGGGCGAGGAAAAGGAGGAAAGATCGCATGCGATCCGTGGCCCTTTTTCAGGATACTGGGCTCCTGGAGCCTCAGCTCCCCCACTCAGAAGCCACTAACACATATTCAAAAATGTAACTTTTACTAATCTTCTATAATACGAAAGCCATTCAGTGCATCAATTGTTTACATTAAACATATTAACTATACCAAATCATGAAATAAAATACATTTTATATTCAGCTTAAATGACACATTCTTCATAAGAAAGCATCAAGCCAACTGGACAATATACGCGTAGCCCCCACTCCCACTCACATACAGAAAACTACTGGGTGCGCTTGTGGTTAGAATATTTAATTTATTTTAGTGTTTTACGTTTATTTGTTGTACTTGAGCGATGTTCCCACTACTTTTTTACTTTTTGGAAAACCATTTTGTGTGCTTTTGTTCAGCAATACTTTCCCTTCTGCTGGCCACTGGTACAGCACAGGAAGTAGCGCGACTGGATGGCTCTCCGCTTAGGATTCCAGTCTCGGTCGTTCCTCGTGAAATTTATAGACGGCAACGCGGCAGGGTTTCTCGGGGTTCCCGCGATTCCTCAGACTCATTCCATCATTGCCCCATTAAAACGCGTATGCCAACTTCATTATCATTCATCCATCCAACCACTCCACACACAACCATAAGGATCACGCCCTGAAGGTAAATACACAGTCATGCACTGAGAGTACCAACATATGTATGTATTATATTTTATTATTAGGTCGCTGTTTCCCTCTCGCTCGCTCTCAACGTTTCCCGATTTATTTAGCCTCATCGCTCTCAGCATGTTTTTATTTACAGTGCCCAGATGGCATAGCTGTCACAGGTGATCGGTAAACTCCTCTCAGCCTTTTCAGCCCGTGTCCATGCTTATTCTAAAGCCCCTATCGGCTTAATAAACGTAGTGATTGTCTGGATTTGGGAGAAAGGGGGTTTAATAAGTGATACATGGGTCCCACTAAGCAACCACAAAACGTCCATGGCTTACGTGGGATCCGAAACCCGCACTTCGCTGTTTTGCCAGCACACTGGAGTGCAAGCGACGCAAGCGCTCGCGCCAACAGGTCGACGGGGAATGGAAGTGAGACGGTTGCATTAGCTCTCCCACGCCACAACCCACAAGCATACACCCACGCCCGAGGCGAGGCGGCAGTTCAGCCAGCGGGACTCGACCCTTTCAGCCGAAACAGCTAAGGCGCATCTACCTTAACAACCTTGATCAGCCACGTCGGCAAGGAAAGAAACACCGAAATACTAATGTACTGATCTGTGCTTCGTGGATATCCACTACGCTGCCTGTCTCCAACACAAACAATAACTTGCAGCACTCACCGAACGTCTCGCATTCCACCGATCGTTCTTTCTCAGAAAGCCCCACAGTCCACTTACGAGAAATATTCCTTTATCCCTATTCCAAATTCCTTTATCTCATATTACTCCTATAAGCTCGATACTTCCCTGTAAAATGCATTGCAAGACCTGAAGGAAGAGACCCTGAGGAAAATGCCACATCCTGACTCCCAAGCAACCGAGTGCTGAAACACTTGGGCAGCAGGTGGCAGTGGCGTCATGGCGAGAGTCGGTTTAAGTGACAGTGACGTCACGACGCCAAGTAAGTGTGTGCGTGCGTGTGTGTGTGTGAAGCCAGGCCGACGTTGCGGACATTGGCTGCCATCAACCGGTTCAGTAGCCGCTACACGTGCTTTTGAAGGCTCCAACTTGCGGCGGACTGTTCTATGTTGACATCTTGAAGAGACCACGGATCTGAAGAAGTGCCCAAGACCCGGGCTCTTTATTTCTTCATCACAGTGTCTACAGCAATGTGCTAAATTGTTCAAACTTGATATAGAGTTTTCTCATACCAGTGACATATGTCGTTATTATTCATACCGCTGTTGTTTTATGTGTCATTTTATTTTCTATTTGCATTTGTCGCAGTTTTTATTTCATGTTTATGTTTTAACTTTGATGAATTTGATGTTGTTACTGGTTGACGTATTTGTTATCTGAGCCGCAATATCTCCGAACTCTCCTTCTAATTGATCAGTTTAACTTTTCTCTGTGTTAATCGAAATATAGTAGTCTAAGAATAAACAGTTAATTTTGAGATATTAATTGAAACTTAAACGGATGAGTGATCAAAATTTCCAAATAGTAGATATTCCTAAATGTGCCGTTGTGGAAACTATTTTATCCATGTCATAGTCACAGAACCCTTCAAAACTTCTTTCATTCCCTCATTACACCTTCACTCCTTTTGTATTTCAGTGTTAAAAGGTTACAATTTTGAGGTTAGGTATACAATTTTCAGAGCTTCCAAAAATATCTCGTACGCAACCTTTTGACTGGCTTTCTTTCTTTATTCACGTTCTAATCTTCACTTCCCAAGTTCAAAGAACGTTCGTCTAAAATATTCAATGACAAAGAAGTAAACTATTTCGCATTTAGATTGATTAGTGCATATGGGCGCGTCTGCCAAAACCATTATTCCCATGAGCGTAGTGCATGTTTTCATCGCCGGAGTGGCGGTAATCTTCCCCCAGTCGCTGGCGAGATCCACCGCTGATCTACGTGGGCGTGCGGGGATTTTTCCCAACCAGGTATCTCACTAGGATGGCACCGCCCCAGTCGAGTCAAGCTCTAAGCCCCGACTCGTGTGATAGTGTAATGCTTATGACCGTAAGTGTGTGCAAGTAACGGGGAGTATAGTACATGGAAGAGGATGGAAATATCGCGCGCAGACCGTGGCCCGTTTGTTACGGTTCTGCTCCGACATGCGCCTGGTGTTGATCGGAGAAACCACGGACAACTACCGATCAGAGCAATCGGTCTCTAGAATTCTCCTCGAGACAGAAACAGAACTCGTCCTGGCTATCTATCGTCGAAAATCCTGTCACCGTCGGGAATCGAACCCTAGGACCTCTAGGCACTGCGCTGATTGAGCCACTTTTGCCAGTCTGCATTTAGATTTAATTTATTTATCAGTAATAGCTCATGAATTTGAAATCTGGAAAAAAATTCCTTTAAATTTTATTTAAAAATTGCAATATTTCTCGATTATATGAATGATAAATGAAAATTACTCCTCAGTTACAATTTCAAGGCATTTCCTTCATGACGTCACTCCTCATTCTTATAAATTTCCATCAGATTATCGCCTTCAACTGAGTTCTGTATAATTTTTCCACCATAAAAGAATCGTCAAGAGATGTAAAAACAAAACAAAACTCGAGAAACGATCAAAAAATATCGCGGGAAATCAGCATAGTGGGCAGTAAACCTGCCATCCCTCTCCTCTCCAACCACTTAATTCCTCTGTCAGGGTCGCCAACATCCAGTGTAGCTGCATCGAATAAATTAATTTCATACAACGGACATCACTTTTAGCAACTCATACTTATACGGTGTTACCGTTATTCAAGAACATTTCACAGGCATTTAAATATTTTATTTTGTATTTAATTAAAAAATTTAAGTTATAAACATTTGTATTTTTTTAATTTCAAACCTCTAAGTTTCAAGATTTTGCTATTACGTACACGACTTAGATACACGTTGTATTCAATGTAAGTAATTTACATGAAGAAAATTTTGAATAAAAAATGCATTTCTTTTGGCGTTTTAAAGATATGTTGAACTGCTTATCGAAAGCATAACCCATAAGATTACACTATTAAAAAAGATTCTGAAAATAGATAATTGTTGTTAATAATTTTCTTGTACCTCACATAGTAAATTACATGCCTCGCATGCTTCTTCTTTTTGCTTCCCTCTTCCCTGCACAACGTGAAGAAACGTCTCATTAAACTAACCCTACAATTTACCATTTCAACCGTCCGTGATATTTTTTCGAGCTAAAAACTGCGCTGGAAATGAAATTCGCCCATCACGCTTTCCTGTATCCCCGGGCGGTCGGGGGTTCCCGGCGGGTGGTTGACGCAGCNNGGGGGAGGGGGCGAAAGAGGAAGAACAAGGACGCGTAACGGGTCGGGGCTCCCTAAACGTTCCTCCTCCTCCCGTTCGCTCTCCTCGTCGCCCTTAAAGCCGGAGCGCAGGCGCCGCGCGCAAGTCGCAGAGGCCCCGCCGCGCGCGCCTCGTCATCTGCGATGCGCGCCGCGCTCCTCGGCTTCGTCCTGCTCGTGTGTCGCTCCTGGGACTACGTCAAGGGTGAGTTTTTTCTTTCTCTCTAAATTATTATGCCAGTTATTGATTTTTATTGCGAGTCCGAGATGATAAATGGCCGTCGCTGTCCGAAAAATTGCGGGTTTGAATCACGAAGGCTTTAATCCGAATTAAATGATCGAAGAGTTTCCGTCTATTTGTTCAAATGCTCCCTCAACATGACTGAGCGGTAAATGGTATCCGAATATTAATTAGAAAACTTTTTTTTAAACCGAACACTAAAAACTGCAGGACAATTTTATTCACACACAGGAATACTATTTTCAGTAATACCAATATTTTTATAATGTATATAATCCTTTACCACAACAGTACATGATACTTTAACAATATGAACTCAAGAATAACCCTAAATGTTTCGTTTTGGAAGTATTCTCCGGCGTAGTGAGGCGATAACCAAAATTCATTTTCCATTCATGACATAGAAAACAGGGGCATATTTCATGCTTTACTCGGATTTTAAATCCGAAACTTTTCTTTTTAAATAGTGTTCAACATCCAGCATTATTTATAAAATAAGTTTTTAATCTATTTTTAATCTGAGAACTGCGGATTCCGTCCGTCGACATAAATAAGACCAGCCACATAACTCAAGCCAAACATACTATTTTACTGAAATATCACACTAATCTTTATTTTCACATTCACACTTTAAACCGACTTACCTTTTTCAGTTTCCGAATATTGATGTTTTAATATTTGTATAAAATATCCTGAAAGTACAGATTAATCTTATTTTTCAGAATATCACATTTCGTTGTGCTGAACACATCTTACAGAAAGTATTCCAAATGTAACATGCACCATTATTGGGTCGACTGTCCGCCTTTGCCTGCTAGCTAAGTGCTCCCGTGCCTGGGACTGGTTTAATTGTCAGGGGGTAAGAATGACATGTGGCGAGTACGTCGTATTCCCTTCACTGCAACTAGATAACTCCACCTGCCTGCGCTTTTCTTCGTCCCACAGCTGCAGAAACCGAGACGATTTAAAGGAAAGCGACAATACTATTTTTGTGTGGACCGGGAATCGAACACCAGATGAACGAGAAACTAGAAGCTGGTACGCTACCAATGAGCCATTCTAGAGGCTTGAAAATATAATAATTATTATAATTACAGTACTTGAAATAATGACAGAACATATAATAATGACATAACTAGATTGACAATATCCAAATTCGCAAAATAATCCATTTTAATAAATGACTTCATCAAAAGCATGATGTAAAAAATGCAAAATTGTTGTTATATTTTTTAATATTTATGAGTTTCGAGTAATTATCGTTATGACGCATTCCGCGATAAGTTTGAGATGGTATGGTGAAGCTCTTACCGTACTTCGTAGTCCAAGCAATAAGTCTACGAAAATAAACACACATCTACTACCTCACTTAACGTGTAAATGGAGAATGAACTATGTAAATTAGTGAAGCTGGACGAGCTCCTGATTCACAACAATCTAAGGGAAGAAACATTATTTAATTTACATTAAATCAAGAACATTTCTAATATACTTGTGATTGAATTCATTCGTGTTTTAAAATCTTCTACGAATATATCGCCGTAGGTCACAATATTATTATTATAACATTTTATATAATACTTCATACTTATAATTACATATGCATATGTTTATATACCTATTGCTTTAAACATGCAAATATCACTCTACTCGGTGAGTAATGCGCCCCAAGTCTTTGTTTGAGTCTTTGATATTGAAATTTTTTTAATTGTGCTCAAGTTCTCACTAAAAAGAAATGTTAAAGACATGGCAGTTTTGTGTCACGTCTGTTCTCGGCAGAGAGAATTTCTTGTCAATATCTTCTAAGGATTCACGTTATACCGGAAAGACAAAATAGCAAATCACAACGTTTCACCTCTGTAGATGCCCAAAAGAATGTTAATCGAATCGTCGGCCCATGAGGAATGGAATACGTTTTTGAACATATCTGACCCCTTAAACTCATTGTATGTGCTATCCAGACCCAAAGGTGTTTTTGTGATATTTCTCTTAGAAGACTGTGAAGAATTCGAGATAAAAAAATTAATCCGTTATCCACAAAGTAGACAAAGACTCGTCGATTGCACTTCATTTGTCGCAAATGGTGAACGAGGTCGGATGGACGAACGAGCGAACGGGCGGGCGAACGGACGGACGGACGGACGGACGGACGGACGGACGGACGGACGGACGGACGGACGGACGGACGGACGAATAAATGGTTGGTTGGACACACGCAGGTTGCTCTGTTACTATGCCTAGGTTTGGTAATGTAGCTTTAAAAGAAGCAATTGAATATGATTTCTCAGTATTAAAGTTTCAAGAAAATCAAAAATAATGATTAATGTTTCCATATTTTCACAATGGTGACAAAACATACTATCCTATTTCAAACTCAATAGAGCAACACTTTTCCAAAAACTGTTTTATTGGTTATTTGATGGCCTGCAAAGATAATTACGCTTCCAAAACAGTTGAAACATTTCTAAATCATCATTTTTACTTACAGGTTTTTACAATATTTATTTGCTGGTACTCTCCCCTGTATTATCTAATCTCTCATAAGGATTGATTTTGTCCATGCAATGATGGGAATGCATACCAGATATGAATCCATATTCTATAATGGCCAATAGGTTAGAGCGCCCACACTTATATCCTCTGCATCAGTACAATATTCGTCAGTATAAAGAAATATTTTAAAAACTTAATGATCAAAATAAATTATAGATATTTTAAAATATTTAATATTTCAACGTTTGCCACGTAAAATCGTCATAAAACTCTACATATTTTTAAAACACTGAGATTCACACAATTTAATACTTGTTTTTTGATAATTAATAACTACAATATTTTCAATATTAAGTTCTATATTAAAATTAACTAGACAATGACACCACAATATGTACGAAATATTTTGGCAGTCTTGTTCTGTACAATATTATTCGTTTATATTTTTAAAAATTTTTAGCAATGTGTAATTGGCGCCAGTAAATTTAATTAAAGATGACACTATACATTTTTAATTTGTCTAGGTCTTACGGCGCCCAATTATTTATACAACCACTTTATTTTGTATATTCTCATGAAATATTAACTCAAATAAAATTGAAACAGATTTAAAGATGTTAGAAGAAATATATCCACTTATCGTAATTAAAGAAATTGGGATAATTTTGCCTGCAGGTACAGGGTGCCCACCGGGTGTTCCGTGTTGGTCATGGTATCCAAACAGCCAGCCTGGACACATGCCACAGCACCAACCCTTTGGGCATCCGCTGGTCGTGCAGAACTGGCCACCCCTGACAGCTGCCTCCGCTCAACACAGCCATGCAGCCATGGCGCCGCTTGCAACACCTAGTCGCCTTTACTACGATCAAGGTCACAGAACGTTTGCTACGAAAGACTCAGGCGAGCCGAACGCAGGTCATTTAAACCCGCGGCTTCGTGGAAGAGCTGATGGTCTCTCCTACCTGCTTCTAATGACCCCTTGCTACCTGTTTTAAAACGCCTCGTCCTCGTGTTCATACGGTCCGTTCCTCGCGAGATCTGTACTCTTTAAAGACAGGCACCCGCTTGATAGGTGCGCATGCGATGACCACACTACACCGCTTGTCTGCGCGTGTCATCAATGCGATCAAACTGGAGAGTTATGGCGGCCGGCTGCTCTGGTCGGGAGTTTCGCGTGGTTTTCCGATCAATACCAGGCAAATTCCAGAGTAATACCCTGACAAACGGGCCACAGAGCGCACGCGAGTGCCTCCTCTTCCTTGTCCCGTCCTCACCCTTTGCTGACACACACATTCACTTCCATGCGCTGCGCTACTACACAGGCCGCGAGGGCGGTCGGCACTTTAGAACTTGTCTCGGCGATGCCCCCTAGTGGGGGATACCTGGTTGGGGAAACCCTGCTGGCCGACAGGCAGGTCGGTGCCGGATCTCGTCATCCAGTGAGGAAAGATGGCTGCCACCCACGTTCAGAGACAGACACAGAGAGACAGAGAGAGACAGACACAGAGAGAGAGAGACACAGAGAGCGATAGAGAGAGAGACAGAGACACAGAGAGAGAGACACAGAGAGAGAGACAGAGAGAGACACAGAGAGAGACACTGAGAGAGAGATAGAGTGATAGAGAGATAGATAGAGAGAGAGAGTGATAGAGAGAGAGACAGAGAGAGAGACACTGAGAGAGAGATAGAGTGATAGAGAGATAGATAGAGAGAGATAGATAGAGAGAGAGTGATAGAGAGAGACACAGAGAGAGAGACACAGAGAGAGAGACACAGAGAGAGACACACAGAGAGAGACACACAGAGAGAGACACACAGAGAGACAGAGAGAGAGACACAGAGAGAGAACACTGAGAGAGAGAGAGTGATAGAGAGATAGATAGAAGAGAGTGATAGAAGGGGAGACAAGGAGGAGAGACACAGAGAGAGAGACACACAGAGAGAGACACACAGAGAGAGAGAGACACAGAGAAAGAGACACAGAGAAAGAGAGAGAGATAGAGTGATAGATAGATAGAGAGAGTGATAGAGAGAGAGAGACACACACACACAGAGAGAGACAGAGACACAGAGAGAGAGAGACAGAGAGAGAGTGATAGAGAGATAGATAGAGAGAGTGATAGAGAGAGACAGAGAGAGACAGAGAGAGACACAGAGAGAGACACAGAGAGAGACACAGAGAGAGAGACAGAGAGAGAGACAGAGAGAGACAGAGAGAGAGAGACACAGAGAGCGATAGAGAGAGACAAAGAGAGAGACACAGAGAGAGAGAGACACAAAGAGAGAGACACAGAGAGAGAGAGACACAGAGAAAGAGAGAGAGATAGAGTGATAGAGACAGACAGAGAGAGAGTGATAGAGAGATAGATAGAGAGAGAGTGATAGAGAGAGAGTGATAGAGAGAGACACAGAGAGAGACAGAGAGAGAGACAGAGAGAGAGAGAGATAGATAGAGAGAGACAGAGAGAGACACACACAGAGAGAGACACAGAGAGAGACACAGAGAGAGAGACACAGAGAGAGAGACACAGAGAGAGAGACACAGAGAGAGACACAGAGAGAGAGAGAGAGAGAGAGAGAGAACGTTCACTTCACTTACGAGAATAACCAAGGCCGTTGACGCGCCCTGAATCACTATTCAATGAATCGAAAGATAGACGGTGACTTTGTAATTTATTTTTAGGTGCTTGGAAGCTCTATATTAAAATGCAGTTAATTATCAACTTTGTCGCAAATTGGCCATCTCGGGACCACGCGGACTTGCAACGCACCGGGGCTCAGTCCTATTTACAGAGGGGAAGTGCACGTGACTTTTGTTGAGGGATCAGCATTCATACTGAATCCGATTTTGCATCCAGGGTTTTTTGTCCTGCGGGAAGTCCTCCTTTCGAATCCGTAATTCATTGTTAGGATATTTAGAGAACTCGAGAAAGTATAACTGTGTATTCAGTACGCACAGTAAAAGTCTAATTGGTTCATAAAAACGCTCAACATAAGACTGCATTTTGTAACTTTGCACTACAATGAAGATTAGAGACTCAATTATTCATAAGTGAAAGCATCTACGATTATTGGAAATATTGACGAAATAACTGATATTCGAAATTCTTATCTTTTAGTCTATAATGTGATTAAGAAAGAATGTAGGGGGATCGATGCAATAAGCCAATCCCGCCTTGCACTGGCGCACCCGGAGCCGCTAACTAGCCTTCTCCGGCGACTCACTTCGGCTTGACGGCCAGGCGTCATTCCATGGCCACCACCAGGGCAAAGAAAGGGTATGATTAAAACGTTAACTAAAAAGCCCATGACGTGCAATTTCCCCAACTGCAACGAAACAAAAGTCAAAAATGTAACTTCACCATTTCAAAAATATATTTGTATGAAGTGTTATGCATGCTTTGATATTCTATGTTGTCAAAATAAAAATCGATCTCGTCTCTGCAGAGTAACGTCGATCTATTCGACACGAAATGTGTCATTCTCAGTCAGTGAAGATGCACTGCACCAAGAGCACGCTCTGCAAAATAAGACAAAATGAGATCGTCTTCAAATTACAGGAATTGCATCTGTGCCTACATACCAAACGCAGCCAAACCGTCCACTGAGTGGTGAGCCTGGAATCTACCCAGAAAGCTACCAAAGTGCCGTCGGCTCATCGCCGTATAAGAATTTCAATCCAACGCGAGTCAACCCTAGCGCAACTCAGGTCAGTATAGAAAGCAACTTTAATAACAACCACACCTTTACATTTCAAATTATCAATTCTATTTACCTTCTTTTATGAACACTGTTTTTAATATACAATAATATGAAACGAATGCAATGTCTTAAGTTCTTAATAATTTATGAATATGTAAGTGAAACAATACATTTTCTTTCTATTTAGGATAGAAACACTTTCTAATACTTAACACAGACAAATGTTGAAACGTGCAATTTAGCATATATATTTTTTAATGTTTTTGTATTGAGACGAGTAGGAAAAATATGTGACTCCTCAAACTGTATTAATAGTAAATACAATAATAATATTAATAAAAATATTGATAATAACCATAATTATTACTGAAAATTATAACAGCCTATGTATTTTTCGATTAGCCCCTTTCATTGTATTTTCCAGAGCTTTAAAGCTTATTATAATGAGACTGTTTGAAACTTAATCAACTGACTTTCAACTTCAATAATATTAGAGAAGAAATGACACAACTATTTCCAAGCAGCATCTATTTTTGATTTTTACTAGGTCTTTCCTCCAGGCCGCCAGGCAAACGCGCCGCCTGCTCCAACAACCCAATCACCAATCGCCAACTATCTGTGTGAAATTGTGAAACGAGATAGAAATCAAGGAATGCACCCAACCCCTTCGCCCGTACCACAGCAGAGTTCGGCATCACATCACGCAATTAAGACCCCTATAAGGCGCCCAGTTAAGGCACCTCCCTCGCCCCGCTTCACTACTACTCGCCCTCCTGCAAAACAGCCTCATCCCTCAATCAGTCCGAGGCCAGCCACCCCGCCAAACAATCGGACAGCAAATGGCATCTCGCCAAGTTTAGCTGGTAAGTGAAACACGTGACTGAAATTATCACCTAGTATTTCGAACTCAATGTTTCCATTCACCGTAAGATAGATCGTGGGATTAAGATTCACCGAAATTATTGGCGTGAATAATACTTCGTTTGACTTCCTTTTTCCAAGCGGAGTGTATCTGAATCTATTTCGGGCCGCTTTCCAAATTTTTTCTTCTTCTGTGTATGAAAATTTATTTCAAATGTCATACGTAAAATACAAAAATAAACACGTTAAAATACAATTTTTCGAAAAAATGTACTCGTACATTATCTAATCAATTAAAATATCTTGTTCTTTATAGCATGTGAACAATATCGAAAAGCAGCAGTGAGTTTTCTTGATAATCAAGTGAGGATTAATGGCGGAGAACTTGCTGGTAAAGGAGAATTTCCTTACATGGTAGGTACGACCTTTATAGTTAAAATTTGATTTTCTAATAAGCGGTGTTTGTAATAAGAGTTCAGTCAGTTTGCATCAATTACACTCTAATTAATTGAGGGAAAACGTAACTAAGTTCCCAGTTGTGGCAATGAATTAACGAATGATTCCTGGGCAGGGATTCAACAGAAAACCGTCATACGAAATTTCGTATCATTTATGTACGTGTATTTTGCCATCTGCTTCATTGTTAAAGGCGCGAGTACAATGAGAAAATGGACTTCTGTGTGCCCCAGACCTCCTTCATTTGTTAAGGACCGGACGAAGAACCCGTACTTCCTTCTACCACAACGTTCAAACTGGAATGCCTTTCCAACAGGGCAGTTTTGAACCGCCATGAACGCCCTTTTTCGTGTGCAGGTGGCAATTGGGTACGTGCGAGGCGAGACCCTCTTCTGGGCGTGCGGGGGCAGCCTCATCAGCGAACGCTATGTCCTCACCGCAGCTCACTGCACGCAGAGCAGCCAGTGCGTTCCCAACCCACGAGCGTGAGTAGTGCCAATTACCTTCTCCGCCACACGGGCGGATTCTTAGGGGCGAAAAATCCATCCTACGTCTTCCTTCGAAGGAGAAGTAAAGCCGGCTGTCCCATGTTAGTAGATTTACTGCACGTAAAAGATTCTCAGGCCTAAATGAACCCTCTCTTTCTCCGCTAGTAGGTAAAAGGAGCGTAGCGAAAGTTGCGTAGTCAGACGGAAGAGCCTGAGTCTCGACACTTATAATAAGGCATCAATTCAATTCACACGGTCATTCAATTCAAATTCTTGGGATGTTGATGATGTTATCCTTCTCGATTCCGTTCTCATTGTTTCGTAATTATAGCCAAGATAGCCTAGAACGGAACAGAGTTCCCTCCACAAGCCAGCCACGAGAGGAATGTTTCAGTGCGAATTACACACACGTTACACAAAAATTAGAGTAATGCATAGAAAATGTTTAACAAACCTGACTTAACTGTTTTCAAATATTTTAATGAAATTTACGCACTCTTTACTTGCGCCAAACGACTGCCAGTCAAGCTACACAAAAATAGAAATTCACTGATTCGTATCTAATTAAATACTCCTTCAATACCTTCTTCATTGCAAAGATACTTTTCCAATGTGCTTCAAGATGATCGGCCAGTATGTTTTGGGTCACAGAAGTGACCCAGAACATTTTCGTGGAACATATGCGATGTCTAAGTTCCTAAGCGTTGGATCGTGAAGCAGACACTCCTCTTCGACTTTTATGTCGTCGCCGTCATCGTTATTTTCCAGACTTTGTACGTCTATTGGGTCTATTGGGCGCTCTTTGGCGATGCCTGCCCCAGCGTTTATTGTCAAACACCAATTATGAAGAAAGCTGGCACAAGCTATCAGCATTTTTACACTAAAATATTTAGGTTTCTTCATGAGTGACGTTAACAATCCAGACATGAGTTATATGTTAAGCACGTACAATTTATTTACAAATATTTTGCACCGTTTGTATAGATTTAAGGTACGTTTCGTGCATTCCTTCCCGCCGCTCAGCCTCGGTCCTTTACTGCCACCATCCCGCCCCACTGATGGAGTCCTCTGCAACTACGATTTTCTTTGAAAGCGAGCCGCGCCACGCCCGCGACAAGCGCTGACCCACGTGCCACACTGCCCAGTCCCACCGATCGTCTCCCGTGCTTTCTGAAGGTTCGCCCCGGCTTAGGCGAAGATTTTGCGTAAAACGCGGGCATTCCAATAATTCGCCCCACTAGGTCCCCTTCATATATCTTGGTGTCACGTGCTATCCCCCGTTTCGCTCCCGGCTACGTCACAGCTTGATTGCTCGGCGACAGGCGTTGCAGCCTGTTGGAACCACGTGGCGGCTTCCTTGTACCGCCAATGTGATTTTCGCAAAGCACGAAACCGCGGTTTTGGACTTGACAAGAGGCCGTTTTCCGCGCCTTGGCGCCAAGCTGACCAAAAGTCATGGGGCAAAAGTTACATTATTTGATATTTCCCGACACATGTTCATTGACAGAAATACATCGTATGCGACCCACTAGATGCTCTAGAAGTTTTTTCACATTAATTATGGAAAATTCTCTATATGTGCATGTGTGTGTTACTCGCACTTTACCCCAACACGTATAATTTCAAGTTTACTTTTTTTTAAATAGTTCAATAATATTAATGGAAAGAAGAGGGAATCTGAATTAGCCCTCTTCCTACTGATATATTTGGCCAGCCCTTGGATATCTTAATGTACTGGTTATTGGTCTCGCAGTGAACGGGAAATCAGCTCAACCTCAAAATTTTCCTCTAGATTTCATATTACAGATTCCTTCCCATCGAACATTCAAGGCTGTTGTCACCTAGATATACGGTTGTACATTTCTTAGAATCCATTCACTGGTTCTTCATTTCTGTTGCCTCGTTTCAAAATAATGACTGTTCGGCCAGTTGATAGTCTTGCCTTCCTACAAAGAAACCACATGTTTCTCGCAGCCCACGATTATGTTTTCCTGCTTTTTCACTTCATTCTCATAATTAACCTCGCACCTGCACAAATGACTCAGCGGTTTCTATCTATGCGTTTCAGAAGCGTCGTATGGTGAGAATGGTACGAGTGTAACCTACCTTCACATTTACCATGAAACCCTTGACAATCGCAACTGATTTTAGAATGAAGACCCCATCCAAAGTACACTGTTAATATTCAAGCTAGATATCTATCTTAAATACATTTTTCAGTAGATATCTGTATAATATATATTTAGGTATATAGGTTTTTAGATATTTATATTTTAGGTACATAAATTTTAAGAATACTTCATTGAAAATCTTAATAATACTGGCGTAATTTTGGGTTACCTTGCGTAAGAAATGCCACAATACGATGGATTTATTAAGTAAAATAAATGCAGAGATTACTCAAGCAAGTTCAGTGCAATAGTTATCGAATAAGCTTCTCACCCGCAGCGCTCGAGATCCAATCGCAGACTTTGTAAATATGTTTGCTTTTCTTTCTTTAATTGTTAGATGCGACAAGACAGCAATACACTCGATTCACTATCTGGCAAAACAGTCATTTTAACTTGTGAATGATCACCGTCGGCAATTCGTGAGAGTGTGGGCTGTCGGTGTGCTCAGGGCGATGGCGCTGCGGGCGGGGCAGCAGCGGCTGGGCGCGCGCCCGAGTGCCGGCGACTTCGGGGCCGAGGCCGTGCTGCCGCACCCCGCCTACAGCTTCCCCGAGATGTACCACGACGTGGCGCTGGTGCGCACGGCCCGCGCGGTGCCCTTCTCGGCTGCCGTGCGCCCCGTGTGCCTGCCCGCGCCCGCCCACGCCCACGCCCCCGCGCCCGCGCCCGGCGCGCGCTGGACCACAGCCGGCTGGGGCGGCGACGGCGCCCTCGCGCGTGAGTACCTCTCACGCCTTCAAACTCAAAGCTGGGCACGGGGAGGAATTCCGTTCCTTCCCGATCACATTTGCATAGCTAAAACGATCGAAATAATTCCAAATCGCTCTGAAGACGAACAGGTAGCCTGCCCTTTTCACCCGCATTAATTCCCAGTCACATCTCACATCGCTCCTGCGGCCAGATGTGGAAATATTTTATTGAAACAATGCAATAGGAGAGGAGGATCTCCTCCTTTGAAATGTCAGCTAGATGAACGCGACGTGCCATCCTCCAGCCCTGCGACAAGGGCGAACAAAGGTCGGGCAGACGAGGTTGAGCAGGCAGAGCACGGAGCGCAAACTGAAGCGTGACAACACGCAGGGCTCCAGAACAAGTCTGGGAAAGAAGTACGTTTTCTAAATACATTTTCATCGATGTGCCATAATTTGTTGATATGGTACCTTTTGTACGATTATAATTTTAAATTTTTGCTCCACAATTGACCACAGATTCTTCATGGAGTTCTTGAACCAACTGCTTCCACACCACAACAATGTACTCAAAATTATTTAGTCCAAGAACTTTTTATTGACTTGTCTTAATGATGCGATGCTCCATAGTGCATAGAGACAACAGCTTCGCTAGGAAACCATTGATGTAACTCAGATAAAATGTGTGTTTCTGCTACTTTTTATATTGGTATTGGTTTATGATACATCCGAAAATATACATCCTATCAGTAAGCTGACCTGTCAGGTCACTACACCACTAGGGCTTTTAAGGGACCTAAATTAAATAATCTGCATATATCTGCTTTTGAGTCTAATAATATTCACCCCCTGCATGCTCTTGCAATGTGTACTGAAGGAAGCCATTCGACACGAGTAATCTAATTTGAAGTACTCGTATTTTCATTTGACATAGTAAATACAACTGAATTCTTTTCCTCCTCTTAACAACATCCACAAACACTCATTGTCCGCCACTCTGCTTCCACCATTTCACCAATAATAGAAGAAATACCATATCTAAAATAACTTAATTGTATAATATTAATTAATACATAATCACCTAGATAATCAATATATGTAAATCATTCCCCATGCAAATAATAAAGTAAGAATAAAACTTATTTTCCCTAAATTAACCCTTAGATCAATTCAACCATCCTAATTACTCTTTCAAGAAACAAATGCGCATTGGCGCGCGCACGGCCCTCGCACGCGGAGCTGCTTGTTAGGGGCCGCTCCTCGCTCCTTCTGTCGCGTCCAGCGTTCTCTTCAATCAACGTCGCAATTTGGTTGCTTCTTCAAGTTTGTTGTTCATTGAAGCAGAGGCCTACCGCCGCAGCAGACTCCGTTCGCGCCAATGCCATTCCCTTCGGCCCTCCCGTCTTACATTCCAATTCGTATTTTATAGCTCGATCACTTTTGAAGAAGTAGTGGCGGTACAATAGCACATGCTTTCCGTAATGAATTCGTAATAATTTATCGTATGTCATAGCACGAGTGCTTTGGGTATTTTTCGAAAAATCCCCGACTCGAGAAGCGAGAAAGGGATTTATGAGAGAATTTTCAAAGCGTGCGAGAGAAGCACGTTAAAATCAAAGGTTTCGTATAGTCCATACGCGGTTTATTGCACATCATCACGGTGGTCGATGCACACCGCCTCCTCAGAGAGATGAGCTGCAGCGCTTTATTGACCATAGGGAGGGGCTGTACGAAAAATCGAATAGAGAAAGCGATACATTTTTTGATACACAGCCCTGATTGTGTGGACTTACTTGCAAATGTACTGTGTTTTAATGTATACTAAGTTATATTATAAAAGTTTTAGTAAAACCCTCAATATTTCAGAACTAGTTTAATGTTGGGAATAACCCTTTTTTCTAATTAGCCCTTTAATTCAGGCGTTCAGAATAATTACGGCAGATCCCAACCGAAGTTCGTTTCAAGAAAAATGACTTTACTTTCCCGTATACATAAGTATATACGGAGTAAAACAGTTGGATAGGAAAAGTTATGTAATGCTGCGGAAAATCGAATTCGAAATATCAACGGAAATACGCGTTTTGGGGTCCCTGACAGCGAAAAAGTGTTTTTCAAAATGTCCTTTGTATGGCCGACTAAGCTGGTGTATGTGAACAGCACCAGAGCCTAAACCATGCACACGATGCATACCACATTGGAAAAACCTGTCCATTTGGTCTGTGTCGAAGCTCTGCGATTTTGAAAAACATTCATTAGTTTTTCGGGGTACTTTACATAAACCCTGAGACTTTTCAACATTTTCTAAAAAATGACTCCAATTTTTTTCTTTAAATTGTTTGTAAGAATAGCGTAAAATACACTTATAAAGGTGTCATAGGTTCGATTTTCACGGTGCCTCTAAATTTTCGAAAATTTCAAAAGTTTGAATTTTTCGGGTTCTTTCTACAATTACTAAATTAAAGAAAAGTATATTTCCTTCCAATAAAATTTGATGTCCATAATTTGTTCTTTCATTATGGTCATGTACATTTTTTGTTGAAAATTTTGAGGTTCTCGCGTAATATTGCGTGCAATTTGTGCAATTTCAAAAAATTACAAAAACAAGATTTTCTCAAAAACGGCTGCTATTTTTTCTTTAAACTTTTAGTAGGAATGGTGCTAAAAGCACTCTATAAGATGGCATAAACGCAACAGTGCGCTATTCTTTTGCTTTTTTCAAACAATTACATTTTTTTTACTTGTCTCTTATAATATTTAGTATGTAATAAATAGTTTCTCAAAGACTCAACCATTTTCTGTGAAAATTGGCTCAAAATTCCGCATTTTCAAAAAAGCTCAAACGCCATTTTCTCAAAAACGACTTCAAATTTTTTCTTTGGACTTTTCGAAAGGATAGTGCTAAATGCATTTTTTATATGAGGTAGTTCATTTCGGAATATTATTTACACAATGTATTTTTTATGATGATTTGAAAGATCTCTCACGTCATTAATATACACTTTTCCAACAATTTGTTAGCACTATTGTAATTGCAAGTTAATGTGCTTCGCATGACTTCTAATGAAGTTTCTCGAAAACTCAATTTTCGGTGAAAAGGTGCTTCAAATATCGAATTTACCGCTTAAGCGTCATTTTCTTAAATACCGCTCCAAATTTTTCAAAGAAAATTTTTTCGAGGTTTTACTGTTATTTAATATTCTTAAAATAATATTTACATTCTACAATTAAGAAACCGAAAAATTACACACATTTTGTTAAAAATGTACTTTGGGTGGCGATAGATGACAGCAGACAAGAGTATGTGGCGATTTCGAATAACTAGCCGAGATCAAGAGAAATAGAAAGGTAATATAGGAAAGTCTGTGCCACTCTGTAGCACCACTGGTTCTTTTTTTTGCCAAATTTTTGAAGGTGGAATTTGAGGGTTTTGCCATATTCCAATTCATTTGATATTTAAGCTTATGATGGGTACATGGCAGGTGTTTACCCACATACATTTAACTGTAAATGCGAGGCCGGCTGGGATCAGTCATTATCCCGAACGCCTCAATTGTAAGCCCAGTCGATGCTCTAAAATGATTACCTCAAGCTGAATACTTTCAGAATCCGCCTTCAAAGGAGACTTGAAGAAGGCAGAAATGATCGAGCTGGCGGAGGCAGACTGCCCAATCGAGGGCAGGTCGAGGCTGCCAAAAGGCCTCGGCAACCGCATCCTATGCGCTCAGCATCGAAGGAACAACGCCTGCGACGTAAGTTGCACGCGCAACCGCGCACGGGGCTGGGCAAGTCATCGCGTGCGCCTCGTCAGGGCGGCAATGTTCTTCACGGCTGGCATACGAAAGTCCATGGCAAATCGAGGAAAATTTCTCATTTACAGTAACGCTTAAACGTCATTTCCTTAAAAATGGCTCAAAATGTTTCAATAAAAATTACAATTTAGGACGACGTTTTACTTTTTTTTAATTCTTGAAGTAATATTTCGCATCTACGATTAGGAATCCGAAAAACTGAAGAAGCAAAACTGTGTACTTGGAGCGGCACTACTTGGCCGCTGGCAAGAGGATGGGGCAAGATCGTAATGGCAGTTCACACCAAGTCAAATAGACAACTTCACTACGAGAAAGTCTGTGTTAATGTGCTGTACTTTTGAGAGTATAGACAATACTTATTGATCTGCATTCTGGAGAATTTGTGATAGTTTTAGGAAGAGGCGAACAAGCGCGGTTTTCCAAGACTTTGGATACGATCCACTTATTAAAGAAAAGTTTAATATGACAGTTGTAATATATAACTTCGACAATGAGTTACAGTAATTTAGCATTGATGCGATCGATTTGAGGCTTTGAATGGTCATGAAAATGTCAAAATGATGTGAAGATACAAAAAGAATTATTGAGTGTGCACCAAAGCGGATCGCAATGTTTTTACTCTCTCGAACTTACGAAGGAACTTCTTATGACGAGAGAGAAGAGTAACGCTGCGCGATAAACAGTCAATTGAAAACTCTTTATACAGGGCCCTCGTAACGAAAATTTGCTTCAATTCAGTTGCTAAATTTAGAAAACAAAAGAACACGAAGTGTGGTCAGAATCCCTGTTTTCGAGGTCCTTGGTCCCTAAAATATCGATCGTCGGCGAAACGTCGGTCCGTCCACGACGGGGCGTGTATTGCTTGGGATCAACCAGTTCTCGCCCAAACGTTCTTCCTTCAGTCGTAACTTGCCCCAATCTTGTTAGGTGCAGTCAGCATCGTCAACTAAGTTCTGCTTTATTATCATTAGTTACTTTAATATACAACACAAGTAAAATAAATACAAATTGTTTTTAACGTGCTATAATTTATTTTCACTTCTTGCATTTACAATGGGAGGGGGTGTCGTAAGCATTACGTTATTTTGGGTGGGTTCAAAAACCTGATACAGGTGTGGGGATAAGGGGGAGAGGGGAATTGAAAATACTCCAAATTTGCATTATGTAATTTATGGACGGTCATATAGAATGGGTCAATAGTTCAAAATCATCGAAATACCACAAAAACTATTGCATTCAATAATTTAATTTTTAAATGTATTAAGATGAAAATGTTTTTTCTGAGTATTTTTCTCAACTTCCAGACAACTCCTAAGTCAAAACAATCCTGTGTTTCCTCTAGTTTTTAGATCATGGACAATGAATCAATTAAAATACGTTTGTGTTACACATTCACCAAGACACTTTCATGGAAATCATCAACAATGGGATTGAGAAGTAATTCTAGCACTAATTTTGGTTTTGAACAAGTGTTCGATAGAAACGTATCCTAATTGATCTCCTTCTCAATTGAACCATCTCTGATTTTGCAGGGTGATTCTGGAGGCCCATTGGTGCAACAGGATGAAAATGGACAAGATGTTCTCATGGGTGTTTTCAGTAGTAGCCCCAGCCCATGCTCTGGAAATAAGACAGCTCTGTTTGTTCGTGTTAGCTCTGAATTGAAATGGATAGAGGAAATTGTGTGGCCCAAATAGTTTAAATGCTTGATGCTGCAGTGAAGTGGTTCATTCATAACCTTAATCCAGCAGAGAATTTCATTCAAAGAGCATTTGCTCAAAGGTCCTCAACGTCCTAAGTGGATAATTTGAAGTAATTGGCTCCCTCAGGAGATCAATGCACAAGGCAGATAGCATTCAAATTCTGAATGGAATTTTCATCTGCAACTGACTCCTTATGGATACCAAATCTACTGTTATTTGGTACACGTGAACTGGAAGACTTTCTGAGGTTAAGGCATCACTAAAATATGATTGAGGGGCTTTACTCACAAAAAAACCTCAAGAGTTCGTACAAGATCTTTGTTCTGCTCGCTTTATTCTTTGCCTTTATCCTGATGCTAAAGGATATTCAAATCACAGAAACAATTCAAAATACTTTTCTTAAAATAGCGATACCACAAAGTTACACAACAATACAATCTTTTACGTTGTACTTAAGTTGGTTCAAATAATTTGCTGACAAAATAAGTTCGGTGGATATAAGCAAGGAAATGTATTTAAAATTATATACAATCATGCTCAGTATATTGTTCTAAAAAGCAATTCACATCCTGTTGTCAAACACACATTGGTTTTCATGCAGGACAAATTGTTATCAAGCTTATTTCAGCAGACACTCACAGGAGTGGTATTGTTCAGTCAATTCAGAAAATAAATTAACGAAGTTTTAGAAGAAAAAATTACAAAATTACCTCTTGGTATTTATCTATTTATTTATCAAAATCAATTCATGTGTAATTTTCCAAAATTCTGTTCCCATTCTTCTACGATTCTGCTGCGTTTTGTAAAGAGCATTGGTGCTGAGATGATGAAACACATCCTCTCCCAGACACAGAATTCAGAAGAGCGACGTCCTCTTTGACAGTAGGAACATGGTGGGTGTTTATATTCATGAATGGATGGTGTGAAGATTAAATAAGAATTGTGAATATTGAAATGATAGCAATTATATTTGTACTTCACCAATACAGCAGTAGTAAAAATTCTGCATGTACAACTGTACTTTCCTCAACTGTCCATCTACTGAAGTTCTGTTCATCAAAATTTTGTAAAAAGTATGATTTATGAAATCTTCATTGGATGGTATTTATTGAAGTAAAAAGATCATGATATTTAATGTTCAACTTTAACATTTATATATTCTGTTGTTTTGTCAGTTGAGACAAATCACTAATGAAAATTGTTAATATCAATATTTGAAGGGGAAAAAATTTTTAGAAACACACATTTTGAATTATTCATGGCCAGGAAATTTTTTCCAGCAACATTCAAAGTCACAGACTAGTATAATTTAAGTCTACATTTAAAATAAAATTAAATGGACTGAAAATTGGTTTGTTTGAATACAAATCTCTAAGTCACATGAAAATGAACTTTCATTGATCATTCTGTTTTTGCTGTTTGTGCATTTAAGATCATACGATGAACACTGAATGAAACTATGTTCATGAATGAAACATTGAAAAAATTTATTGTACGATGAGCTCTCAACATTAAGAATAAAATTAATCTTCTGTATATTAGCTTATAAATTTATTACAAGAATTAGACTAGTATTCATTCCTAGTCATACTGAAAACAGAGAAAGTCCTACATAATTGTTCAAATTCTTCACATCTCACAATACCATCAAAAATACATTTATGAGACAAAGAAAGAAATGTCTACCCAAAACTCTTCAATGTGGTGCTCTTTAAATACTGGTAAGTGTACTGGAAAATAATTTCTTTTCAAGATATAAGTTGCAAACATTCTCTATTTGCCTTTCTGTTTTATTTTTCTATTACACAGAATCCATTTGCAGTAAATGAACATGCAAAAGCACATTCAAGAATCACAGCATCCATTGTAAATGTATTAACTTCAAAAACTATATCTATGATCAAAATGAATCACAAAATACTGTGAATCATGTTTGCAGTGAAAGGAACTTCAATAGGGTCACCAACTGCCTTAATGTTTACAAGATCTATAAATATTAACATGAGCAAGAATACAACATAGCTTCAAGAAATTTCAACAATTTCTTCACCTAACACATACTTAAGAGGGCAAATCCAAAACTAATGAGAATGGGAAACCATAATTCTAATTTCCATTACGAGAAGAACACTACAAATAGATTCTCAAAATTACATCTTATGAGTGTACATTTAGTTGCATTGGTGTTAATCTCTTTACCATAATATATTGCAAAAATATTGTATTTTAAAATGTAGTACAGAAGAATTAACCAAAATATATATTTATTCTGAGCATTCCCATTCCAACTGCTGTTACTTTACAGAAAGTATCCGATTTAAAATCTGCAAGGAAGATTCTTTATGAAAATCAGTTTAGTGAGCCAATATATCTCAATTCCTATGCTGTGAATCTCTGGAATAAAACGCTGAATGACATTTATTTAAAAACCAATGTCAGGTTTCAACAGCTGCTAAACATAACAATACATGCATTCTGACTACCTGAAAAAATTTAAGAAGCTAGCCTAGCATGTATAAGTTTATATAAAGTAATGTACAACAGAAAACTTTCTTCTAAATGTCAAACTGCTCTCAAATGTACAACTATCATTTCATTTTCAAGTTTTTAAAATCATGAACAGACTACATCTTTTTACATCAAACATGTTTCACGATTACTCATGATAGGCAACTTCAACACTTATACACCTATAAAATTTTCATTCAACAGCAACAAACATATTTTTTTCTTTCCCTATCAGGTATTTTTCGCAAACATTGAAACCTTGTACATTCACATATACAGCATACACACACATTCATATAGATATTTAACATTCATTCAAACAACTAAAAACATACAAGACATACATAACATAGTATTCATGTAACAACATTTTCAAGAGATTTTACATGAATTTTCTAAAAGAGCAAAGTAATTCACCAATCTTGTAAATTTGTATCAACATATTAAAATTAAGCTACATAAAAATGTACATCTCAATATATATCAGAAAAAAGTAATTCAAAATGTGGTCAAGAAGTGTGCTTTTAAATTCCTTTGTGTTGAGGAAAGCAATTTTATAATGAACCTCAAAAACAAATTCTAAAACAGTATCCACAAATACACCAATACTATGACAAACTTGAGTAAAATTACTTCCAAATCCACTTTACAACTACATATCAGTCTATAAATGATATTTGGCAGCTTTTATGTATAACACTACTAACACTAGATGAGCACCGTAATAACATCTGGTAAATCCACCAGAAACATTTAAACAAAATGTACAATCAATGATAGCTGCAATAGTATGGATGATAAACTTCGAACAGCAAAGGTATCCTAGTAATTCCCTGCCAATTAAATGGCAGAATCTGTCTTTGATACTGTACAGGCACTCCCTCAAACATATACACCGATTTTGCATTTCATTCAACTAAGCCACTGAACAGTGGACGGGTCATACAAGAACAAAATCCCCTGCCAAGGCAAACCAGTTACTTTTTAGAGTTTATGAATCCAGGTTCATAAAGTTGAATGAATCTGAGAGTTCACGTACATAATTCTTCGGAAAGAAACCAATCTGGAAAATATTAGGAAACTGAAATTACCCAATTTAACAACACTCACTGATCACATCACCACTAAAATTAAGTATTAAATATTTTCACTGTATAATCTCAGTAATTCAAAGATTCTGAAATATAATACTCAACAGACTATTAAATCAACATCAATTCTTCTGATAAAATTCCTGAACCTGAAAGACTGCTAGACTGCTATCATTCAACAAAGTTTTTTGATTTATTTCTCACATAAAAGTATTATAAATTTCAAATGAAATTTTTTTAATTATTGAGGAAGTAACACTCAATGGCATTTTACTGTGTATCAAACACAAACTTTATGTAAACTGTGTTGTATTTACATAGATGAAACAAGTTATAATTATCCCCTCCAAAATAACACACATACACCTATACTGTGATGTTCACAACTCTGCCCCTGGCAGGTAACACCTGTGGATGGTTTCATCCAATTGAGAGCTTCAACGTCACCATAGTGACATCACAATGGTGACATTCAGGCTCCCGATGGGATGAAACCAGAAACCATCAATAGTTGATACCTGCCAGTGGCAGGGTTGAATAAATCGCAGTATACACCAAGGTACAATAAAAAAGGGCAAAAGTTGTTCATCCACCAAACCAAACAACACCATTTTCTTTCATTAAAAACCCACAACCTGAAAAGGAAAGGAAATTCATTACCTTGTCTTGCACCTTGCCTTTCCACCACCCATTGGCATCTCTCTCTTTCCCAAGAATCAGCACATGGCACCCTTTGCGAAGCTGCAAGTGACTGGGCTCCTTGGGCACAAAGTCGAATTCTGCAATAGCAACTACCTGCCTGTAAGGTAATTTTAAAGTCTCGTCCAACCTGAAAATTCAATTCAATATGTATAAAAATTCTTGACAATATAATTCTAATTTGATGATAACAATTAATATGCAAATCAAATCATTTAGAACATTTATGGAATAAAAATGTCCAAAAGACATCCTAAGACAAAAATAATGTAATATTCTAAATCACTGATTCAGACAAGCCACTTCTGAAAATTAAAAAAATAAAATAATTAGAAACTATTCAGTGTCAAAAACCTTGTAGCACAAGCCCACAAAGAAATTAACTGTCTTGACTAATTCTTAAATTATTAGCAATTATCATTCATTTTACTTGCATCTTACAGTTCTTTAAATAATTTCATAACCTGTAGAACCAAAGACTTATTGTAATTCATTAACAATTCTGAATTTGCTTCTTTCTTGATAATAAAAAGGAAGGGATGTTTTGAAGAAAAGATATTAAAATGTGAAAATCTCTTGGCAAGGATAGTTTTAATTGAATTAAATTTATATACAGTAACAAAAAAATGAATTGACCAAGAAGTAACTCATAAATCACAATTGCATCTTCATTTCATACTGAAGACTTGTGTTTTACATATGTGCTTTAAATTTGCCGATGATAGAATAAGAAAATAATGGTACATAACACATCTGGTTTTCTAGATTCTCACAACTTCTGCAAACATGAAGGTGCAGACATTGACAGAATGACAATTAGAACAAGTAATATTATTTGATAACTAATAATTTGAAAGCACACACTCAAATATAGTCCATAACTTCTGAACATTGGCGATTATAATTTTAAGTATTATTATTTTTAATTCAATCATTAATTTTCCCCTGTTCATAGATTTTATATTCTTTGTTCTTCTTCTTATTTAATGTAAGTCACTGTTTCCTGCTCTTCACCAGACAAGCATGAGATGTCAAATCTAGGGGGTGTAAACAGATATCAACATTTCCATCAACAATGAGAAACAATATGAACTCAATTCTCATAAGTTTGTGACAGTCCTGATACTCCTGCCTGGTCAATTATTGTTCTTGTCAAGTTGTAGATACAATTGTTTGAGAGAAAGAAAACATTTCTGACAACAGTTTTATGAAAGATGAAGAACAAGTTGAAAACTGTTCCAGAGTATTTAAAAGGTGTGACGAACAAAAAATGAGTGTAGAAACCCATTATGTAAAAAAGTTCATAACAGAAAATTACCAAGATCATATTATATTCAGTGAATGGATAATCCAACATTGCTTAAAATTTCTTAACATAACAAACCCAAAAGGTAAGAAACATCAGCAGACCTACAAAACTTGTGTTAGAAATTCAGGCTAATTCATGACAACTACTCACCCAACAAAATTTTCTCCAAGACTGGACTGTTCATAACAGTTAATAAGTTCCACAATACTTTTAAAAAATCTTGACTCAGAGAGATAATAGTGCATTGTCCCATCCATTTGTTTACCATATACCTTCATATGTTTCACTTTGTCATCGGTTCTGCACAAAAAAATACATTTTCAAGGAATTTGCAGTTTAAGACTAAGTTAGTAATTCCTGAAAGTCATCACTTACTTCAGACTGAGAGCATATGCAGTTTCATTGGCATGTGTAGGTCCCTGAGGTCTAATACGTAAGAGGTATGTTCCGTTCACCCTTCTTTCCAGCAAATGAGATGCACGATCCCGTCCCATTTCTCCAACAAACCTACAATATATGAAGTTCTTCTTAAATCGTTCATATTACCAAATCACACGAACAATTAACCTCAACACTTCTAGTTAACACACGAAAATAACAAGTTTTGACAAAGATGTTTCACAATTTCAAGCAGAAGATTAATAATCATTTATACTCCACAGGATAAAACTATTAAAACCTATGTTGTATACAATTATTTCTCATTTTTCCGTTCTTTTTTTCCGACTCAAAATCTTATTTTTCTGTTAGAGTTACAGTTCAACTATTCATGTTATTTGGTTTTAAGATATTTTTTTTTACCATCTTATGCACATTAATAAAATTGAAATGACTGTCTGATGTCAAAATAATTACCCTTTTAAAAGCTCACAATTTCAGTTGTTTGTACAAAATACATATTAATGCAATCATTTTTATATATGCCTGTCTTTCCATTTGACAGTCTGGGCTGACAAGCTAATATCAGGAACAGCTAAACCAATTTTGATGGGTTATTCACTGAAAGATACAGTACTTTGTTCTGCAGGATTTAGACATTTTTTTTTTTAATAATTATTTTCTATTGTACGAATGATGACCACAATGATATTTCTCTCCCTCTCTAAGAAGTCAAAAGTGATTTAAAGGTGAGAAAAGGATAAAAATAGTTTGTTTTTTTTTAATTTACACCTCAGCGATTGAAAACATAAGTCATAATTGGATACTTGAGGAAGTTTTGAGACTTTTCATGCATGTTCCAGAGTTTTATGACAATGTAAAATTTTTTTTTCCAAACATAAGTTTTTTGCATTTGAATTTAGAATTGAAAAAATATCACAAAATGTTTTTCTGATAAAAGTAAATTGAATATCAAATTTTTCACTCAGACGAAACAATGTTAAGTTTTTACGAAAAATTTATAATATGAAAAAAATTTAAAAAACACTTTTGGGTGTACAGAAGCGAGGACTAAGAAACCTCTCAAAATCTTATTTTTCTGTTAGAGTTACAGTTCAACTATTCATGTCATTTGGTTTTAAGAATGTTTTTTTTACCATCTTATGTGGGGGTACCCTTCTGTACACAGGAACAAGATTTATCAACGATTTCCTGACAATAACAATTTTTCAATGAAAATTTTGTTTTCCAGCACACAATTACAGTACTTTCTCTTCTTATGAAGTAAGAGCACGAAAGTAAAAATTTTAGGACAATATTTAAAGATCTAATTTTTATAAATTACAAAAAAATATATTTTTATTTCACATTTCATTAAGAAAAAATCTTGATCTTCAATACTGAAGTTGGAGGGAGGTTAAAAATGTTTACAGATTTGAAATTTTAAAAAAATTCAAAGTATGGTCACACATTTCAAGAACTAAAAATGTAAAAAAGAAGTGAATTTCAGGAGGAAAATTTTACAATATAAGATCATGCATCCTACAATACCATAATTCCAAACAAATACTAGCTTTTATTAAAAGCAATAAATATAATATACCAATATATGTTTATTTTCCTTTTCATTAGAATTAAATTTAATTTACCATAAATATTCACTAAGATGACGATGATCCATCCATGGGGATGATTCTCCATTTTGTTCTTGACATGGGGATGGACTAGGTACAATAGGCCTTGGTGGCAATTCTGGAGGTTCCCTAACACCACATCTACCAGAGTTTGGAATACACATTTTGTGTATAGATATATCACATTTCTCGCACCGATAACCCTGGAAAATAGAATTCATGTCTCACCCTCAAAAAATATATGAAATTACATACAAATCAATTAGATTGTTGAACTCAATGCAACCATCCTTAGTCAGCAATTCTGCAACAGCCAGTAACCACGGAAAATCCTTGTATTTTTCATTAGGATTAAGTGTTGAACATTGAAAAGCATATCCAGAAATATCCTTTAGAGCAGCTTATATTTTGTTTCTTTATTGAATGATTATCTTTTTGAAGCAAACTGGTGAGTACCATTATTTCCAAGCCATTATCATATCTCTCACAAGCATGTTTACTGTGTTATGTTGTTATTTCTATGTTTACCTTGTTACTAAACAAGTAATATGTTTGTGTAAAATTTAAAAAGTTTTAATGTTCATTTGATCATCAAATTATATCATCAATAAGAGACATTCTTGTATTCTAGAAAAGAAATTAGAAACAAGAAGAATTGATAAATATTGAAACATAAGGTCTAAGAAGCTCAAACAATTTCTCATTAAAGGATAATATCCCTTGAAAAGTGTAAAAGAGATGTTTTACTGTAAATCTTTTATGTGAGATGAATAAATATAATTTTGTATGATTTAATATGTAGGTGGATATTACTTTATTTTTCTTTAAACATTATATTTGTTATTCAACTGATATTATTACATTTTTGTAATTCTGTTAATTGTAAAGAGGTAGGGGGGGGGGGCGCTTTAGGTGTATCTAAAGTTTAAAAGACAAAAGATTTTTGTTACAAAACTGTACGAAAGGGGGTGGCAGAAAAAGACATTGTTATGTTCCTGACAAACAATCCCTAATACCTTTACAAGAAAATATATGAAATTAAAATTATTACCTGAAAAATTAATCCTTTCAAAAACTTGCTGCAATGATTACATGTTGTTGGCTTTTCAAATGTATGCATAACAAATTTGTGATCTGTATGACGACACCCATTTGGTTCAATATTATCTCTAGAAAGAAAAACAACTGTTCAAATAAAATGAATCATGTTACACCAAGTTACAGCAGTCACGGTTCATTAGGCACTGTCAAATATTAAAAAACTAGTAACTAAACAAATTATTGTCCAAATAGCCATGAAGCAAGAGGCAACTTATACAGAATAATATGGGCTCTTTGAGAAAACAAATCCTAATCACTATTTTTTGATCTAAGAACGCTTGTTTACCCTTAAATGCTACTGATAATAACTTCTACTTTCAATGAATCACGTTACAAAAATGAGAGATAAACAATATGCAAAATGCCATAAAAGAATTGTAGGTTAACTGAAGATAAAATACTTACAATGCTTCTTGTATAGCCTTAATCCATTTTCTTTTAAGATCTTCGGTCCTTGCATACATTGTGTATGCGGTACGCTGAGATTTTGTAATCAAAAACCATTGATAACTCCACCGTGCATTACTTCTCAACACTCCTCTGGTATAAGGATCTTCAACCTTATATTCAGCAAGATTTAACGATTCTCTATAACTGTACATACTCTCCCCCTAAACATCAAAAAATAAAAATGCATTTAAGATAATTAAAAATCAAAAACCAAATAATAACCCAAACTAATACCTAAACAATATTACAAATAAAATTCATGTCCATTGGATGATACTTAAATACTTATTAATAGCTCACCAATAACTATAAAAAAGAAAAGAGAATATTAAAGTTAAAGGAAAATAACATACTACCTATCAAGTACAAATAGCTTTTTAAAACATGTTATGAAGCTAGAAGGTAACAAATTCTTTATAATAAATCCGAAGGTCTGCTGTACTAATGCAGGATTCACTGAACCAATAACTACATAATTATAATACTCATTTCATTATCCATTTTTTAAACTTTAAAATAATCCTATCATTTACCAATCAAAAGACATTTGTTACTGCACAGTTCTATACAACTCTTCTGTTCCCCTCAGTTTAAAACTATGAAAATAAAGTACCTTCCTTATCATTACATAAACAATATTTTTTCAGAAGTGTTTCAAGAATTATGTTTAAAGCTCTGGTAAGTATCAAAACATAGTTTGTACTTCCATTAATAAGTTATTAGAAATACACCATTTACTATGGCTTACAAATACGAAACTTATATAAAGAAAATAAAAAAATTGAACAATAGACTTACTCTAATTGATTTGCAAAGAATCATGGCTTGGTCAAAGATAAAAACATATCTGAAATGTAAATAATAATTTCATTATTATTTATGATTATATATTTGGTTGATAGAACAATGAGCATAAATAACAAATCATTCTTACCTCATTCTAACTTTTTGATCATCATGTGCTCTGATGCGTAGCTCATCATCATTCAAAAGACGTCCGTAATTCTTTAAGTCAGTGTTATCTGATATGTTCCAGTCTGATATACTGGCCTAAAAGAAATAAAAAATTTGAAGCCTTTGTTCATTTGTATAATTATGCCCAGTTAGGTACCATAAATTTACCTGAATGTCTCGCATCAACTGTAACATGTCAGAATCACGCTTTACTTCATTTATGAACTGAGCCACATCAACCATAGCCTCTTTAGCTCGTTCCAACCCACGGTAGTCTTCATGATTCTACACACAAAAGAAATTAAGACTCAAAGTTTAAAAAAATGTTGATAAATGTTGATAAAAATTTTTGATAATTTATTCCTTGCATTAAGGAATAAATAATACTTTCTTGTAGTCATTTTACAAAACTCAAATATATTTAAGATACTTCTCTGAAAGTTCACTTACTGGTTGAGTCTCAGATATCAATTTATCTAGTAACAAATGATACTTCAAAATGCGCTGCATTGGAACAGAAAGAATATCTCGAAGTTTGAATTTTCCATTATTTGCTTCTTGTTGGCATCTCTGACAAAAAACAAAATGCAATAATCAGTTTGTAAGCTATCTCAAAATTTCACCACAAAAACATATGTTCATATAAAGCATTAATAAATTAAGTATTGTAAAAAAATTACAGAAGACTTATCGTAAAATTCAAAAATTTAAGCTCCCAGTCAGATAACAGAGCCCCTCTCTCAATTCACCAAGTGTACACAAATTGTAGAGTATAGAACACATTTTAGAGTATAGAAAGAAAATAGAACACATGAAAGCAATTAGAATATCTCTCAACAAACTATTTATCATTACGAATGGACGTGGCACACTTCAACATCAACATATATTGAAAAAGCAAAAAGGGGGAAAATTATTCCACCAACAATTCACCACCACGAAAAAATTTTAAATACATTTTTTTGGACGACTGTCTTGCAAGAATAGAAAGCTCACCACCTGTGGTCTCACCATTATCATTGTCATAATACACATCATTTAAAGACAATTTCTGAGCTTCCTATTGATAAGATAATCATGTAAACTGTACCGTTTCCCACTAATCTTGCATCAAACAAAAATTAAACTTGCCAACTCGCGTAGGAAGGACAAAGCAATTTTAAGAGGTTGTGATTAACAAACCTAAATAGGAATCTATTCAGCTGCTTAACAGCTCAATCACTAACTGACTCAATCATCTGCTCCATACATATTTCTTTATATAAGCCTTTTTGACTAAGTAAATAATTAGAATACCAACTATTAATCAATTAAATAAATATTTAAATAAATGGGTACCACATTTTTCATTATTCATATTCTTTTTTTTGAGTTCTTAATGCAACAACTACTTAAATAATGTAACAGAATATAATTCCCCCTACCTTGTACATTGAATCTTTATTACAAATTAAGGTTGACCACAATTATTTAACTGCAGTGTTTACCATAGCATTTTGTGGCTTAAAATCAGGTGGCATTATCAAAATTATATTATATTACCTTATAATAAAGTATTCAAGATTAGTTCTCAATTGTACTTATCAACAATTACTCTCTTCAGTTTTGCTGGCACTACACTGTGCAGGTAGGTAACCCGATAACTACACATATGCTGAATCAAAATGAAATACATGACAGATACATCATCTCTAACGCTAAGCCTTTCTAAACAGGCAAGAGAACTTCTTTATTTCAAGTTTGAAAGCACCGGCAAAAGTACGAAATTCACACACATTGCCACTCAACTCCATGAATTCTTCCTCCTGCCAATACCAGTTACATTTTAGCATCTCACCTTGTTTGCCTCTTATTTCAATTCCAAAAATTTACATTTTAAATTTTTTCTCACATAAATTTATTTTTCCCTTTGTTACTACTAAATGAATTGGCATTGTAAAGAGATTTTAAATGGGGCAGTAGTTAGATCAAAAGCGGACAGACAAATATAATATACAAAGAAAAATAAATAGAAAAGATTTCTATGTAAAAGTGTGTAAAGAAATCTTCAAATTTACTTACTATAACTTCCTGGTTAACAAGCTCATTGCGTGCACAAACATCTTGAATCAATGTTTGAGCCTTGGTTAAGTTTGCACAATAATCTCCATAGATAAGAAATTTTTCACGCCAATTTAAGAAAACTTCACTTAGGCGTTCATTGCTTCCTGGGGCAACTGCTTTGTGCAAATGTCTAAGAAATCTCTGATGAATCTCTGCTAATTCCTTTAGTAAAAAAAAAAGTAATGAAATTATCTCCAATAAAGAAGTTTGCTAAATAAATGTTTGGGATACAATTTTTACATTCAATATTTCTCATACTAATTCCAGCAGCAGCTCATATGTAGACAAGACAATATTAGCTCTTCCCACATTAACAGCACGATTTTTCTGGCTCACATTGAAATAACCCTAAAACCACCGCAACTTGTGAACAATACAAATCATTCAAGTTCTTTACGATAGAAAGAATTTTCAAAAAACTTTTTGAAAAGTTTATCCTTACTTAACATATATATATTTTTTAAATAAACAACACTATAATCATTGGTAATTCACAAAAATGAATACTTTATTCTCAATTTTTTAAATTGTTTTATAGATGCAACATATCATACTTTAAAACTCTTTGTGAATTTTCTACACTTCATTTTCTACAGTAACTGTGGATTATAATATATATTTAATACTAAATTCATTAACATACCCTCATGCCACTAAATATAATTTTTGCATCTTCTTCTCTGAGTAAATTATTCAGAGGGCGCATGAAGCATTTCTGGACAGTCATCAACACATCCACATAGTTGCGTTCAGTCTCCACCAATTCCTTTATGACATAATCACGCTTCTCCAGACTATGACTAACAGAAGAATGTGTCTGTAAAGGAAATAATAAATTTGATACAAAATTTAACATTACACTTTCACACCCTTAATAATACTTATGGAAAATTTATAAAACACAATTGTGAATGTTCTGAAGAAATTCAACTTATTGTAATCTGTAACCACACACAAAATGATGTCTGCATCATTTTAATATGGATTTTATTTACTAACTACAACTAGTAGCTCATGCACATCAAAAAAAGAAAACAAAATTACATAAAACTAAAGCACAAAACACCCATTACAGACATCACCTGCTGCTGTGTTTGACGATTAATGGAGCAAAGATCTTGATAAATTTCTTCATTGCGGATACGAGAATAATAACTCCCATATTCCACTTCCTCACTGAGTTCACGAGACGGTTCATCATTGTCACTACAACACATGCACACACAGCACACTACAATAAGAGAAACTAAACTCAAATTAAAATATCAAACATGCAACTCACGAAGGCAAAAATTTGATCAAACATCAACACGAATCTACAAGCACTAAGAATGATAACTAATGTGAAAATCTTGAATCACACTGAGAGGCAAAACATTCTAAAAATAAATGTTACATCAAGTCCAAAAATAATCATATTCTCTTTAATTAGTGACAACCCAGGATTTTCCTTTAGGAGAGTATAGGTGTGGTATTCAGACAAATCAATGTTTTCTTACAAAGAATTTAGCAATTATTCTGAATTTAAAACTTATTTGTTAATTTATAGTTATTTATAATGCATGCTCATGTGAACTTTAATAATTTTTATTCCTAACAAGAATATACTGTCTGTATCATTAATGAAAGTTATTGACTATATCAGTACTTGATAATATTAATAAGTTAAAAAAAGTTCAACACGAACAAAACTGTAAATCATAGTTGTTTACATACTTTAAAAGTTAATACGAATAGAACTGTTAAAATTATTTTAATTTACTTTTTACAATAGTTATCCAGACAATGCCAACAAAGGCAGAAGGGTATGCCTTGCCTGGAGCGAATACCTGGACCACTAGGGCTTTACCTATCTATCATACATGGGAGCTCAACCCAGAGCAGAGGTCTCCCAAGGCGATCAGACTTCCCATGCCAGTTCTTCCTTTATAAAATTAGAAATCTGCTAATAAAGATTCGGTACGAATATTCAATCCCAGAACTTCTAGAGTATTTGACATAACATTTGATAAATAACAGTTTCTACTCAACCTTTAATGAGACTTTTGCATTGGGCCAACATGAAATGCAAATAAAATTACCGTATTTACTCGAATATAAGACGTTTTTTCAGAAATATCTCAGTCGAAAAATGCGGGGTCGTCTTATACTAGCAGATTAAGCATAGTTGGTAATGATTTAAGTTTTTATATTGCCATTCCATGTAACGAAACTCGTAATTGTTAACGTAACAATAAACGGCGAAGACGCGCGTAACAATACATAATTATATTCGCGTTCGTATTATCCGCATACACCGCGAATTTGTCGGGCAATTGACCCATATTTTTGAATGGGCCAGTAAAGAGAATCTTTAACTGAACGGCAATGTATCAAATGAAACGTAACGTGAAAATGAACGCTGAGTGTTACACGATGCGAGTTCGACGAGGCCGCGCGGAACCTCGGTTCGTCGCCCGGCGAATACGAATCTGCGTTTTGAACAGAAACAAGAAACCATCAACAAGGCCGGGACGTATAGAAAATTGGCGACAGGAGGGAATGTTCTTAGATGGCGTCTGATGAAAGACCATGAACAACGCAAAATTTAGTCCACAAAACTTTCAAGAGGGGCCTAAAACGTCAGAAAATGTCACAACATGGAAGGAGGACAAAAAATAAAGAAACATTAATACATGTGAAGATGATGAGGATAGTGACAAAAATTATGATTATCATATTAAGCAACAAGGAAATAATAGTTCAGCAATAACACTTTACATCCTCATCAATAAGGCAATTTGCTAGTCAATAAGGCATTTTGTAATTCTATTTTGACTAAATAGTAAAAATTAGTTACTTTTTTTTTAAAACCCTCAGGAGTCCTCTTCAAAATTAAGAGGATGTCTTATATTCGGATAAATACAGTATGTAATATAATGTATAGTATGAAGTACTTCTTTAATAATGTATTTATAATATGAGCAAATTAATTTGTCATATTTAACTCAAATAATATTCAAAAGAAAAAAATTATTAAAAATCACTGATTCTTCTATTTAAATTGATAAAAATTAATGGTGAATATGTCATTAGCTTCTTTTATGGGCTGAATTCCCATGCAAAACTATATTCCTTGCAGATAATTAAAATTTAAAAAAAAAAAAAAAAATTTACTTAGTATCCACAACAACAAAAATTATGGAAAGACAGAAGAAAATGAAGAGAGAAAATGAAAAGAGAAAATGAAACTCCAACATAAAAACAAATAAAATTCTCCCATTATAATACAATCCTAGGTCTCTGAAATTTTTTATATCAAAATATGAAGAGAAAAATATGAACTACTACAGCTTCTAAAAACCAACCAACTTGTAATATTTAAGCATCATAAATACTGTAGATAGTACATTACAATAAGCTAAAATGACGAAAGTAATTCTAGAATAGATATTCTGAAGGCAATAGTTTTCCAGAATTCTGTCAAGGCCTTTAACAGAATTCCTTAAAAAACTTCATTAACATAATTTTCATCAACTTTTAAATTGGCTAGCTGAAATTCTTAAATCTTTTAAGTGTAGATTTACTAAAAAATGTTCTAAATATGCAAAGAATAAAGAGGATACAATGAAAGGACTACATTGGATTTTTATAATTTACATTAATTATACTACATATATTTTTTATAATTTATCTGCTAGTTTGGAAATTAGTTATTTCTCATTTTATAACATACAAAAGCAATGGCATATCAAGAAAAAGAAACGAGAAGAGTAAAATATTATCCAAATGGACAAATAATAGAACATGAATCTAAATTTAATTATTTGGGCAACCTCATTAAACAGAGATGGGGAGACATGGAAAACAAACCTTAGAAAGACAACAGGATGAATAGATTAATCAAAAGACACCTCAGATGACAGGTGACTAAAGAGACCAAACTAAGAATCCACAAGATATCTAAACCAATCCTCATGTATGGTTCAGAAGTCTGGACAACGACAAGTGGTAACGGGCAACGAGGACACGAGGCAATACAAATGAGTTTCCTAGGTCATTGTGTAGGAGTAACGCTAAAGGATGGACAAGGAATAAGACATCAGAAACTGGCTAAAGAGAAAAAAATATAGTAGAAGAAATAAAGAATGGACAGAGAACATGGCTCTCTCATATTAACAGAATGATATGAGAAAGATTACCAAAAGCAGTGTTGAAGTACAAACCAACCAGAAGGTATGTGGGAAGATAAAAAAAATTGCTAAATCAGGAACACCTAGAGATGTAAGCATCCTGGTCTACTGGGAACCAGGAACAGGCAACAGACCTGGTAACCTGCAGTTTACGATGATGATAAATAAATGTCCAGACTATGACTATGAATCTTACACCTCCTTTTCCTCATAACACAAAGATTTCTCAGCATCAAAACTGCAACATGATCTCGACTGGACTGCAAAGTGGAACATATGCATGAATACTGACATAGCATGGAGACAGACGTTAAGGCAGTGCAGTGAGAGAGCCACCAATTTATGAAGAAATAGCGTCTCAAAAAATAATTTACTTCTGACAAGACTTGTGGATAAAAATAAATTCATCTTAATAATAAAAAATTATCAAAGAAGCAAACACAAAGCAAGTCAGGAATATTGCCATTTCTGGCAACCAGTTAGATGTACAAAGGTAAGTGTTTTTAATATATGAAATGTCTGGAAATTTTGTGAAGTTATTTACCTCCAAATCGATTATTTGTGATAACCTTCAACAAGTGACAGCTTCCAATTTGCTGCAGAAACAAATCAAATGGTCAACAAGTCAGTTCTCAGAAGAAAGCATTTTCCTGGGGTATCAAGTACAGCACATGTCAGAAACACAATGTTCGTCTCAGAACTCAAAAATTTACAAAAATTATTTACATTCTGTGAAGCAAAGACCAAATCCACCCACAGCGACAGTGATTAACTTGTAATATTTTGATGTTTTGAATCAAAACTGGATGGGGAAGTGAAGACAGAACTTCACAAAGAGAAAAAGAAAGAAAAGATAAATTTCTCTCTCATTACTTCCTATTTTATTTATAGACTTCACATAATTCTATGGTTAAGACTATTTATGCAATGAGGGCAATGCTAAACCATTTGAATAATGTAATGATTCGCAACTTGATAAAAAGTAATTTGTTCTGCAAGATAAAAAAGTTAACTACACTTTTGGTTATCTTGAAACCTTAACCAACCATAATGATTAATTTGAGTAAATGAAATTATTTGATATACTTTCTTTGAAATGTATTTATTATTAATGTAGGTATGTGAGCATCAAACTGATATACATTGCTGGTGCATTGTAGCCGTTACGTTGTAATGTTTTGTAGAATTTGTTTTTATATGATGGAATTACAAAAATAGATTAATATATTTTTTTTAAGAATAATTTGAATTTGACAATATCAATCCTATTGTAATTTGCACTTTATAGGTTTATTTTTTATCACTCACACAGTCGAGTAATTTTACACAGTAGCCCCGACTATTCTTAGAGTTGTTGACATTTCTTTTCCAACGCATCTTGCAGGAAATGCATTCCATTCATTTATAACTTGGTTGGTTATGAAAGAAGATATTTGGTCTCCTTGTCTTTGGTGCTTTCCAGTGTCTTTTCTTTTCTAAATATCTCACTCTGAGTCTCCAGACTGAAGCTCTTGTAAACATATCTAAAGCCTGAATTTAAATGCATAAAAATGTCTCGAATATGCTGGGTAATATTCACTAAAAATCTTTCAAATGTGCCCAAAATATGCATTTTAAAATTTACAAGACAACAAATATGGTATTTTACTTGTTAGTGCTGAGTGGTAATAACCAGGTTTACAACCATTAATTTATAAGGTCAAGGTTTCTCTGTAGCACACAATAACATTTAACTGGGATAGTGAATAACTTGGTTACGGACTTAGCTTCTCCAATCACTCCTCACAATCTGACTTCAATGTCCCTTCACGAACAGCAACGGTCCTCAAGCCTTTGGTAATTCCACTAGTTACATGACAAGATGTTGAGGGCCAATTCCCAATGTACGCTCAGGAAGTTCTAGCAGAAAGATACTTTCAGATCCATTCAAATAATTTTCCATATATTCCTGAGGTGAATTAGTCTGTTATGAGGATATTTGTGAAATGCTTCTGCATGTTATACACACGTAAATCTCAACTTTAAGTGGTCCTTATTCTAAATCTTGGTCTTCACCTCATGCGAGCTACTCAAATTCATTTTTACAGATCTCCATTATTGAGGCAAAATACCTGTATTCAGGAATTTCTGAAAAATACTGTAAAAAATTCCATTGGTGCTAACTGTATGATGCTCTACTTAAGAAATGTTGGAATGTCATCAGGGCCTGTACAAATCACCATAAATTTGAAAGGTTTAGTTGTTCCTATGCTCTCTGTTGCATTAATTCATCTTTGTTTCTTGTAGCCTTGTGTCCAAATGAAGTATATTGAATAAATTCTTTACAACTTGGTCAAAACTGTGAAAAGTTAGCTATTAAAACAAGGTGTCCCTAGGAAAATTTCAAAATAAACGTATTCATTTTCTGAAGTATTCCACATTATTATTGTAATGCAAATTCAGAAACTGAGTAATCATTACCATTTCCATCACAAAGCCATACACAAAGAAAAAGCAGTTTCTCGACAAATAAAAAACAAATCAATGCCACAAAATGTTATCTACTGGAATTTGAACACAAAGTCACATCAACAATAACCTAACAACAGAAAATGAACAAGCATTGCATGAACATCAAATAACTATCAAAGCATAAAATAATGACTCAATCAACCACTATTTTTGAAAAACCTCTAAGAAAGCATTAAAAACTACACAGACTCAAACGGCAATAGGTGCACAGAACAGGTGATTGGTGTACCTCAGGGGAAGAAGAAAATGTTACATAACACAGATCCTCATACACTTCTTCATCATGGTTTTCTGACCACGGACATTTTATAGTAAATTCAATCCAGCTACGATCAATAGTCTCCCAATTAATATTTTGATTTGGTGATATAACGGCATTGCTGTAAGTTAATTGCAACAGTACAAACATGATCCACACTAGTAATTACCATGAAAACCACAGGAGAGAAAAATAAGAATGACTCACTTCGAATTCAGTTTCTTGTAAATATCCTCTTGTGAAACACTTCGATTCTTGTGCACGGAAAACCCTCTAAAATACAAAAATAATGGACTTTAATACTTCAGGAATAAGTTAAAACTTATAATGTTGTCAGATAAGAAATCAACTCACTGTATATTTTTTCTTTGAAGCTTAGTACTGTTAGATAGTTTGGACAATGTGTTGAGAACTCTATAAAAATCAGACAAGTCAAATAACATGGACGGTTCAAATAGATCACTTTCCTTAAGGCCAAAAGCATCCTGACAGGTTTGGAGAAAAGTTTTAATGTTGCGTAGGCAAAGGAACTGAAAATGTTACAATCTCATTAGTTTTTAAAAAATAAAACGTGTACATAGAAAACCAATTAATTATTATTCAAATCAAAATATGAATAACAGCATTCAATATTATCTAAAACTTACTCGAGCTAACTGAGGTTTCTGATTAACATCTTTCATATCAATGCAACTCGGGTCCACGATATTTAACAAATTACACAAAAGTACTCCATCGCGAAGAGTGTATGCCAAATCTTCTATTTTTGCATCCGGCCAATTTGCTTTATGATCAGGTCTTAAAACTTCACATCTTATTAACCAGTCAGCACAATCCTTCCATGCTTCGTTCTTCGATGCCATATTGATGGAAATTTACAACACTTACATATTAATAACCTATCTCTTGATCATTATTCGTCATGGAAGACAAATAGCGTTCGAACCATCAATAACAACACATACTAAACGTCGAATCCCACTTGAAATGACAGGAAACACCAGCCATAATACCAATAAGGGGCGGGGACTGGACGGACCGAAACAGACTGAAAACTCTCACATCTTGGATGTGTACACTCTTTGCTCAAAACTATTTTATAAATTATCTGTGGCAGAAAGTTGATAGACTTTCTGTATACTTTTTCAAAGCTCAACAAGGAAAAAGATTTATCAAAATGTAATTAGCGTCGACTTCCCTGACTTTCTAATATACACATCTACGAACATTTGTCCTTATCATGATATTGAGTGATATATCGTGATACTTTGTCCTATACGTGATGATGTTACTGAGAAAACCCGTTTCACTTTCTTCCACACTATTGAGAACGTTATGACGTAATGCTGGGAGAAAGTGTCGATGTTTTGACGGGAAACCCGTTTTGTGGGTCCCGAATAACGAAAAAGGTATTTCTTTCTCATAAACGTAGATTATTACTTTTTCGTAAACGTAATTCACTTCAAAATGAACTTTTGTGTGTCCACGATACTAAAAATATGAATTTCTAAAAATTATGTTCGTCCGTCGAAGATCCATTTACGGTGAAATTTTTGTTTTTCGGATAAAGTAAAACAAAAATGTTACAAACATTTTTGTTTTACTTTATCCGATGATGTCAAAATTAAATAAAATTTTTCCACCACGATTGATTTTGATAATAAAGAGATATAGCAAAATACATTACGAGCACTAACTGAAAATATCAATCAACTTTAAAATATCCATTATTTTCAATTGTTTGCTTCGTAATTTTTCATTAGTAATTTCTTTAGATCCTTCTCCTGTTGGTGCTCTCTCCACAGTTTGTTGTGCAGTGTCCTCTGTGTCTAAATATCGCAATACTGTCTTGACACCCTTCAATGCCCCTGAGGGAACACCAACCCACTCTCTTTCACTCGCCTAATAATACACGAGATCTTTTCGGTCTTTCCGGCGCTGCTGCACGGAGAAAGCGGGTAATGAAGCTGATCGCTTTTCCGCGTGGCACGGCGGATATCGCAAGGCTGTGGCAGCGTGGAATATCGTGTCCCGCGGAATATCGAGTAAAAAACGACGTTCGATTCCCCCCGCCCCCTTTTTTTCCCTTGTTTACCCTTTCTTTCTTTCTTTCTTTCTTTCTTTCTTTTTGAAAAAGAAAAAATTAAAATATTTTTTTCTTTTTTCTTCAAAATATCGTAAGAAGTAATCTAGAAATGGAATTATATCAGCATTTACGTCGACCAAACTTGCTGTTATCTTCTAAACATTATGTTTATCATACTTGTGAGAAGACGAAGTCGTGTGTCATTTAAATTTGAAATAAGCCTTAAAAATACACTATTAGAGGGCTAACTATGGCCATGCGTGGTATATCAGGGAATGATTGTACGGATAAGATGTAAATTTGCAAGTGAATTGTACGCTATTTGAAAATAGTTTATGTTGTTTGTGCATTGTATGTACCATTTACCAGTACCGCCGGAACAGAGGAGCTACAATAGGTAAAATTATGTGTTGCTTATTGCATAAGTAAAAGGCTAATGTACGAAATTGTAGTAACGACTGGGCAATTATAAATCATTCTGAACGATATTATTTATTTCGAAGTAGATTTAATAAATTATTTTTTTCTTATAACAAGTTAACAATCTGAAATCCCGTATTGGCAATCCTGTCGATCCATGGAATATAAATTTTCTTTGACTATAAGTGATTGTTACTCCAGTATCGAAATAGTATGATGGTGAATTAAATATTAATATAATAATTGAATACAGCTCGCTTTCCACTACACGGGTTCGATTCCCGCTCGAGCCAAGACTATACTCTGCGTTTTCCTTGCAATGTCCCATTATATGGTGCTTAGTAACGATGAGACTGAGAAGGGCGGAATACGGCGTGGGGATGCGGACGTGCTGACCACACGTGCCCCCTTAACCCGTGGCCACGAGGCAGGGACGTCGCCGGTAGGCCTGAGCCCGTTCACGGGCTGTCGCGGCCAGTACATACATACTACAATTAAATACGGGCCGGCAAATGTTAATAAGTTGTATTAAATAAATAGGAGTGCGGAATCGCGGGTTACTTTATACTCGTGTAGGAAACACGAAGCTATCACTAGAATTAAAGTTTTTCAATGTAAATATAGTAATACAGGCATGGATCCACAGGAGGAATAAGGGAAATCCCCCCCATAAAAAATTTTTAAAAAAATCAGTAACTATACAGGCAAAAAAAAGGTGTCAGGCCCGCAGACCTGAGAAATGTTTCTCTATATATGTCAACGCGCTAAATCCGAAGCCACAATTGCGCCACCACCCACCATTTTTTTCGCGAAAAAACACCGTCAAAATGTAGATTGTAATTATTTCTAAGTGTTTTTTTGCGATTTAAAGGAAACTGCAGGGTAAAGGCGCAATTCTGGCTCCAGATTCGGATTCAGCGTCTCGACGAACATAGGCAACCAAGCTTCAAGCTTCTGGGTCTGACAACTCTTTTTGTGTGTGTCTGTCATTAAAACGAATACAATCGTATTGCAGCATGGCCTGAGTTTAGCGTGCTTCATTTTACATAATTCGTAATAACCACCGAAACCTTTTTGAATAAAAAACTATCTTAATTTACCCATCACACTCGACTCACAGTCGGACATGTATATAGTACACATAGGATTGGAGAAATATAATAACTAGGGGGCGCATTTTGATGACCAAAAACATCGTCAAAAAGTATCAATAAGATACTCTCAAAATGTTTCTATAATGCCCTAAAATAAAATAAAAACTGCGTCAATTTTTTTTATCAAATCAAATTTAGATTTGCATCTCAAGCTGTTGTATATGTTTCTGATGTTCTGATAGGTTCTGAAATGAGTTATGAAATGAGTAAAATGAAATAGATATTCCTACATCCGTGTGCTGCCAATAAAATCAATGAGAAATTGTTTCAGATACAATTCCTTCAAAAAATGTTAAAATATATCTAAAAACAAATACTTATATTGTTGTTTGATAATTTTAAAAATATGAGCAACATAATATTTTTATTTATTTATAAAAAAATTGACTTTTTTTTCAAAAAACCGCCATTTTGACTAGTAGACTAAAACTTTACAATTGAAAACGCCACCAAACGATTTTGTGATATATTTTCATTCAGAATTAATGTATTTTGGTATGTTTTGCGAGATATATTGACTCATGAGTAAAACAAAATTAAAATTTAAGTCTAAAATCGCCTTTTATCCATTCAAAAAATATTGCTTGTAAAACAGAAAATTATTTTCGTAGAAGGTTGAAACTTTGGCAAATAAATCTTTGCAACATATCAAACAAAGTTATTGTCATTTTAAAAAAATCTGAGAAGATCGGGTGTGCGGTCGTGCTGAGTTCGCGTTTACCCGATTGTATATTCGAATTTCGCGCGTTTCGCTTGACGCTAATTCGCAAACAAGCAATAAGCGGTCACAAAATTCTTCGAAATTACCCCATTGTTGTCGATCGTGATGATTGTACGATGTTGATAATATTCTTAAGAAAGGAAATACATTGAATGTAATAAGTTTAGCATAGAACGAACAAACACATTTCTTTACTTTAAGAAGCTAAGATTTCTTATTATGGTATTCAAGAATTGAGAGTTCACTTCAATCATGGTGTAAGAATACATGTGTCGTAACTGCAATGCAGTGAACTCTGTACATGTAGTTATATACAGTGTACAGTTGAGATCAATGCTTCAATGTAATCAAGGCAGGTTTGTGTGAAATTATTCTCACTTTTCAATATTATGTACTGCAACAGTTAAATTTATCCATGTTTGTTTCATTTGTAAAAGTAAGAAATGACTACTGTTTCTGAGAATCGAAATAAATGCAGATGTATGCGCCAGAGGCGCTTCGTTTGAATTTGTTGAATTAGATTTCAAATTATAACTGAGGTGCTAGAAGGATAGGGAATGCAATATTTCAATATTTCCAATAGTGCGAAAAAGTATATGATGTTGTAGCCCCGCCAGTTTGTATATCCCAAAAGCACCAAAAATTATGCCAAATTGTTTGTAAAGAAAGACGTTTTTGTTGAAGTGTCTTTGCCATCTCAACGGACATGGGAAAGGCGCTTTTTCTGCACCAGGGACACTCCAAAACATTAACATTCCTGATTGACAGTTTCTGTCGCTTCCTTACAACTGTATTCAGATTTCTACACGCATTACGCATAATTTCACATATTTTGCTTTCTCAATGACATGCCCCCGAAGCTTTCGTCACAGGGATGGTCTGCACGGTCACAGGCGATCAAAGTGTGCGGTAGTCGCTTTGGCGTTGCTTGTATTTCTTGGATTCACCACTAGATGGAGTACCCGACCACTCCACGAATCGTCGTAGAGTCTGTTGTAAAACTAAAGAACACTTTCGGCAAAATTGGAGTGGGAGAAATATGAAACCAATTAAAATGCAACAAATAATGTGACACATACTCCCACATGACACTTCTATCTTTCAGTTGGTTCACGGTTTCCCCACTACCTTTATTTAAAACACTTGTGAATACCATTGATCTCAAATGGACTACTCAGTTGTGATACCCGTTAATTCCTCTATAGAGAGCGTTGGTCATTGTATCACAGACTGCTGACTGTGCCTGAGGTGGGCAAGTTGCTAATAGTTCTCGGCGATCTTGTGCGTCATAGTCCAAGAGTTGGTGAGGTTCTTGAGCTGAAAGTAAACTTTGCTTTTATAATACAATTTTTGTGTAATATCGTCTATCTCTCTTCGTAACAATGGCCACTGAAACGAAGCTTTTTACTCGCGAGGAAGTTAAATCGAAGAATGATAGCAAAACTGCGTGGATTATTATCCATAATTCGGTGTACAATGTTACTGAATTTCTGAACGAGGTAAGTTGGTCGGCAGTATCGAAAATACCTTGAAATCGGCAAACAAATTAAATGTAGTTGACATTGTTAAGAATTATGCAATCAACATAAAACCAGCTTTCACATGTAATATGTGTAACCTTGAACATCGAACGAAGACCGAAATGACTTAACAGTATTGTTTAACGAGATTTCTCTGTAACGATAACGATTCTATTATATTGGCTTCCCTTTTACTTGTCATGTTTTATGGCAGTTATTCCATTTTTATAGTGTTTTCATAGTTATTTAATATTTATTCATCCTCGATTTTTGGTGTGTATTTCAGCATCCTGGAGGTGAAGAAGTATTACTGGAACAAGCTGGCAAGGATGGCACAGAAGCTTTTGAAGATGTGGGTCATTCTTCTGATGCCAGAGATATGATGAAGAAGTACAAGATAGGTGAACTAGTGGAGGTAAAGACATGTAAATTGTATTTCAGAATTATTGCCATTAATGTGATTGTATTAATTAATAATCGACTTGCTCTTCAGGCGGACCGTATTGAGACACAAGAAAAGCCATCAGTAAACTGGGCCGCAGATAATAACGATAACAATGGAAGGTAAATATTGCTTCTACTTGTGGAATAAGGTTCATGTAAATGTTCTATTTTGTGTATTGAAATGAAAAATCAGTTGTCATTAATGCAGTGCATAATGATGCAATTATATCTGATCAATCAATAGTTATTGAACTGAAAGTTAGCAAAGTATGCTGCAAAAACTATAGAGATCAAATTTTGTGAATCAGTTCCCAGGTGAACTGTACTGACAATTCCATCTCCATCTGTATCTTGTCTATTTAGAGGGAAAGACAAGACATGCTTAGCTGACTCAAAGATGGAAATCTTAAAATCTCATTTGTCTGGAAATTATATTTTATTATAACATTTTATATTCATGACATCTGTGATATTCTCTAAAATGTAATTAGTGTTGTTGATTATTTTTCTTGTCCACAAGCTCATGTTTTTGTATTTTTTTTTTTTTTTTTCCTAGCTCTTGGAAGTCTTGGATCATTCCTGTTGCTCTGGGTGTTGTAGCGACAATCATTTATAGATTTTATTTTTTGGCTCAGGGCCACTAAAAACTAAACCTCAGTAACAGCTTATGTGTATTTTACCAAGACCATGTAAAGAAGACTGTGAGAAAATCTTGTTACAGTAGTCTTTGGAATCCTCTGGAGAAGATATGTGGATTTTGACAGAACGTATGAAAAGAAAGTCCTGTTATAAATGCTTATCATTTGGATGTAAAAAAACTGAAAATGTTGTGTCAAATAATTTATCTACTGGGTATCTGCAGGTTGTGTAATTGAAGAAATCCTTTGACATGTGTTTCATATTTCTGTACTATTCTGAAAGCAAGCCACAGAAGTGAACACAATTTTGTTATATGTGCCTGTACCTAATGGGTTCATACTTTGTTAGTTATGTTGCTGTTTGTGTCACGGTTCATTATTAGTGCATTCTGAGATATATATATTTGTTTTTAAATAGTATTCACTTAGTATTTCCTTCACTTTTGTAGTTTTTTAGCAGAATGAGAATCTGTTTTCTGTGAAAATGTACACAATGTATACATGTACCATAGCGTATATCATTAAGAAAAAGTATTTCTGAATGTGCTGTGTAATTACATATTGAAAATGGGTAGCTTTACTGCATGAAGACAGCTGTTCCCTGCAAGTTTTGTCACTGGCTCATTCTCCCTATTCTGCTAAGTGTTGCTTTGTAACATTCCAAACCGATGCCGTTTCCTAAGGCCAGTTGAGGCTGCTCCAATTATTGGTTTCAGTGTGTAGTTGCTTTAAGTGTTCCACTATTGATGTGAGACCTCTATAATTGTTCACCAAAATTATTTTGGAATATATTTTGCAGAGGACAATTCTATGACCATGTAAGATAAACGTCGAGCAAAATTTCTATTTATTGAATTGTTAAGTGATGTGAGGAAAGTCATGCACATATTCACTTCTGCAAAAACAGATTGTGTTTGTAATAGCTGTGGCCTGGCTTGGAATAATTTTTGTATTGTATTGAAAGTACCATTGATAATTAAGACATTTGTAACAAAGTGGTTCAGTGTATTTTTGAGAATGATTTAGGATAATTGAATGAAACTTCGTTGCATTTTTGTCACAAAATGTAATTGTTAGGAAATATTGTGAAAGGCATTTTACAGAAATATATTGGGTAACTGTTTGTGAGCTTGATCATTTATGTACATTCCTTCATTCTGTATTACATTGCAAGACATATTTTATTGGAAAATAGCACTGGTATTAAGAAACATTTGAATATTGCTAAGATTGAAGATAGCAGAAGGTCAACGAAAATGTGTCAATTCACATAATCATCCTTCCATGGAAGTCACTTCAGTGCTTTGACACAACCTGTGTATTAACTAACCATTTTAGAATTCTTGCTGTGTTGCTTTTTATTTCACTAAATGTCTGAAGATCATACTTGAATTTTCTCCTGTTTTCCAAAATAAGACAAACTAATTATAACAAATAAGATATCTATTTTTGCTTAATCTATATGAATCTAATAGTTAAATCACAAAATCCTTTGCCCTTGATAAGTACATTGCTTATTTTTAATAATTGCTTCTAAATTTTAAATGAATGATAAGACCTTTTAAATGTCACAAATTAGGAATTTGATGTTAAGACCCCTAAATTGTGTAGAAAGAAGAAGAATAGTAATAAAATTTCTAGGGTTGTTTTGTTTTATAAAATATATACGAGAAAAATGTTTTTAGTGGTATATCTTTATCAGGGCAAACCTCCAGGGCATGGCCAGTTGGTGCTGCATAGAGCAGTGTGCAATCCTAACATTTCAAAGAAAGGTGATTGAAAAAGAAAGGTGATTGAAAAAGAAAGCTTCATATGACATATTCCTGAATTATGAACATAAATGAGGTAGGTATTGAGTATGTTTTTAGGCTACAGAAGTTTATGTACCCCTCAAAACAAGTGATAATTGATTTGAATTAAAGTTTCTATACTGATACATGTTAAACACGAAGTCGGGATCTTAACTAAGAATAGTTAGTTCCACATAATACTTAAGAATAAGAGACTGGAACGTTATCGAACGAGGTCGTTAGTCCGAGTTTGATAACCAATAGAGTCTTGTAATAAGATGTTTCGATAATAGGAATATCTTACGTTTTATCCACTGCAAAACTCCATTGTGTCCACTAAAATGTTCGTTAAATTTGCCCATTCATCTTGTGACCAAAACGGATTGTAGTTATTATAAATTTATTTTGCGCATAATATTTCTTTAGTTTGCTCATGTTCTAGTTTAAAATCTAGAGGTTCCTAAACCTAAGTTGCCGAAAATTATTATTATTATTATTATTATTATTATTATTATTATTATTATTATTATTATTATTATTATTTCTGGTTTTCATAATACCACCGATTACAACTTTCTCATCCGAGACTCCCTGTCGCAGCACCCCACATTTTATTGCCTTTTAGTTTCTCGTACACATACAATGTATATACGGAGTAACAAACGAAGTACAGAGACAGTTATGTAGTGCTGCGGTAAATCGATGTCGAGACTTCAACGGAAAAACGCGTTTTGTTAACCCCCGACACCGAAAAAGTGTTTTTATAAGTCCGTCTGTGAACAATGTGCTCCTAAACTATTCTTTCGATTTTTTTGTAAATAAATTCCCGGTCGATCTGGCTCGACTGAAAGATTGCGATTTTGAATGAAAAAAAAAAAAAAAAAACATTTTGGAGACAACGTGAAGCTCCTGGACATTTAAAAATTTTCTATAAAACTACTCCATTTTTTTCTTTCAATTTCGTGAAAGAATAGTGAATACACTTGTAAGACGGCACCTAATTTTTGTTATCTCTAAATTTTTGAAAATTACAAAAATTTTAATTTTTTCGGTGTTTTCGGCGTTTTCTTACAACAACAACAATATTGAAGATGGCAAATGGTCCCTCAAATAAAGTTTATTTTCCACAATTAGTTATTTAATCAATGTCATATTTTGTAACATTTTAATTGTTTGCAAGAAATCAAAAACAGTTCCAATTATTTCAATGATAATTTGTATGTGGAACCAGGTTTGACTCTTCTATACAATTCTTAAAGTCATATTTCAGTTCTACCGTTAGAGGACCAAAGAATTGAGAAAATATGAAAATATATCCTTTAGACGGCAATATATGACAGCTGGGAAGAGAATGCCTGGACTAAAGTGAAGTACAAGAAGTCTGACATTCTGTATCACCGCTATTGGACTCTGTTTCATCGGTAGGTAGGGTGTTATTTTTATATTATTATTAATTATTATTACTAATATTATTATTATTGCAGAATGATGTGATTTTACAACGCCTCATTCCATATGGCTTTTCAGTTCTTAAGGGCAAGTATTTTCAAACGAAAAATATGCGAAGGGGGTGGCTAAGGGGCCCTCCCTTTCAACATAAGAATGAAGCAGTGCTATAGACTAAGGGGGGCATCATTATTCTATGGCAGTGCTAGTATTAATGTGGGAGAATACTGTTGACTGTTAATGGAAGGAGTATTTATTTTATTATCTAATATAAGCCGGGTTACGGAGGAAGATGTGAAAGAAGAGACGGTTACGTAGATGAGGTTCTACTGGATGCTCTTTGCCTAGATTCAAATGAGATGCACCGGTAACTGGGGGTACATTTTGAAAGAATGTGTGAGAAAGTTTGGTGATATATGTTAGGGCGGGTTCTATGACTATGTCTTTGTGGATATTTGCGTTGTTTATATATCAAGGAACGTTAACTGAAATTGTGGGAATCTCATTCTGGAATATTTTAATTTTGTTAATTGTTGTAGGGGCGGCGTTACACGAGACTGGACTAGCGTACGTGAGTAACGACGTTAAATGGCTTTGTAGATAAGGAGAGCAGAGTGGCAGCTAATCACTCGATCGAAGAATACCTAAGCGTCTGTTGGCTTCATTCACCTTGGAGGTGACGTGGTCTTTCCACGTCAATGTGCTATCCATTAGGACCCCTGGATAACGGATGGAGGAGGTTGTGGAGAATCATGGTATTATTGTTGAGTCGAATTTTGGTGGGAGTGTGAAGGCTGGAAATCGGAGGATGAAAACTTTCGACGTGGACTTATTTGGATTTATCTCAATTTTTCACTTTCTACACCATGTTTCAATGGTCGTGAGATACCTCTGAAATAAGGTCCTTGTAGTGTTGAGATACTGATTTGAGGCAAAGATGACAGTAACATCTGCAAAAAGGGCGGTGTGTATATTGGGATGCGTTGGAATGTCTGAAATGTAAATATTAAAGAGAACCGGTGACAATGCGGATCCTTGTGGTACTCCTGCTGAACTTCTCCGCGGTGAAGAGTGGGTTGAGCCCACTTGCACAATAAATGTGATCTGTAATGAAATTTGCTATGGTATTGATTACAAGTATTTCGTCGAGTATTTTATCGATTTCGTAAGTGTTTCGGTTCCTGAGTTTGTAAATGAACCCTTCATACCAGACCCTGTCGAACGCTTGAGCGACATCGAGGAAGAGCGCTATTAAATGATGGCCAGCATGAAATACTTCATGGATATTTTCAGTGAGACGTAGTAATTGGTGACTTGTGGAATGACTTGGGAGAAACCAAATTGAAAGGGAGGAATAAAATTATTATGATTTATAACTTTACAGAACCTCTTTAATAGTATTTTTTCTCATATTTTTGACATAATCGGAATTAAGCTGATGGGTCTGTAGCTAGTTGTGAAGGTTTATGGGTTGATTTTTACTTGCTCACCCTTAGGAAGGTACTTTTTAAGAAGAAAAAGTTATTTGATGTTGCGGAAGAAAGCGGTGAATTTTCGGTAGAAAAACTCACATTGCCGGACGTATGGCAACGAAAAAGTGGATAAATGCAGTTGCTTTTAGAACAAAGTCCTCTAACATGTGATATAGCCTCAATCCATGTTTTGTGGCCCTTTGATATAGAAAAGTCGACTGACGGCAAAACGTCCGTCCGCCTGAATCTGTGAACAACGCTAACGACTAAACTGTTCAGCCGATTTTCTTCAAAATTGATATTCCCCAATCGATGTGGCTGATAATGCGGCCCCTTGAAGAACGTTTAAGAGAAAGGTTCAGGTCTTATGTTCGCTAAAAATTCTAATTTTTTGAAAATTGTTAAAATTAATTTTCTTTTCGACGTCTTCCTACAAGTACAATTAGAAGATAAACATTTTGTCTTAATGGCATGTGTTCATCAAAAACAGATCTTCAAATAATGTCACGTTTAATTTTTCGAATATATGAGTATTGTTTGCTTTATAAATTGGAAAAGAATTTTTAATAATAAATTCGAATTTCCAGCGCTTTGTTGGAGATGGTTTCGGTCAGTAAAAGTATTTTGAAAGGCGCTTGTGAGGCAGTTGGATATTCTGAAAATCCCTCCTCGGTGTTTAACTTAATATTACAACTCGTAGAACATTCCGAATATTGAGCAGCGCTCCGGTAACGGGCCAAGGCCGTGCGAGTCCGAAGTAGCCCACGACATCAATAACTCATTGCGATGTTACTAAACATCCGTGGTTCAAAATTCCAAAATCTAACATTCGACCACAAACTTCCGATGGTTTGGAACGCTGATCTTTTAAAGCTGGTTTCGTGAAGTCTTAAGGCCCCTGAGGTGACGGCGCGACCCTATCGCATTCTCCTCCTCCCCTCACCTCCTCGACTCACCATTCGTCGAACATTCATGTGCAATAAAATTTAATTTGGCAATGGTCGTCTTTATTATTTATAATTACGATTTAACTGAAAACAAAGCTTAAAAAAGAATAAGACCTACAGAGCCTGAAAGTCTTCAATTCGCTGAAGAGAAGCAGGGAGGAAGGGGCTTGACCGCTCCTCCCAGAGTGAAATACGATTGGTTGATTGATTAGTAATGTTAGGTAAGTCAGTGATTGGAGTGGTAGAGCGTGACATCTTCTAAGGTCATTAGTTCCATAAGTGTAATGCATGTGTTTCCTCGTGAGGTAGCGGTTATCTTTCCCTACCGAATGGCGAATGACTACACGTCGGCTTGCGGGGTTTCCTCCAACCAGGCATCTGCCCCGGCGGGGCACTGCCCGAGTCGGGACTGGGCTCGCGGCATGTGTGGCAGTGTAGTGCACGTGAATGTGTACGAAAAGTAAGTAAGGCGGGAGGATAGGGGGGGGGGGCGACCACGCGCCGGCCGTGACCCGTGTTGGGGAACTGCTGCAGCATTCGCCTGATGTTGACCGGAAGCACCAGGGCAGCTTATCTCCACACAGCAGCTGAGTTGGAGCTTGCTGTGAAGCTGGTGTGGAAACTCATACCCTGGGATCTGGGCCACCGAAGGCGGTAGTGGGATACGAAGAAATACATAGGGAATACTAATGCACCGGGGTCAATTTGGGAGAGCCTTTTTATGATCGATGAAATAAATAGTAAGTGTTGGTTAACTTTGGACATAAATTGACAGTTATTATTAACTGTCATAACTTTTACAAAATTGCGATCATAAAGATTCTTCACCCTCAAAAAACGTCGGAAGCAAAAAATATCTAGCACATCACATCGTTATTAAAAGACATTGGCTTTCATTGACCGATGTTTGAAACGGCGATGATTGTGTAAAAGTGGAAGTTTCGAGGCATCGACAGCCCCAAAGGCCACTCGGGCGATCGCGGGGTTTCGAATCCTAGGCCGCGAGTGGTGGCTCAGACCATCGACTGGCGTCACTGCGCTCCTTCGGACCGGTACGGGTTTCGACAATGGCTTGTCAGCGAGGTCGAATTCAGTCAT